TTCAAAACTTCGATGTAAGATCAATTACGTGCTAGTCAAGGTGAGTTTTATTATAATCGATACTAAAAGCGGAATTGTTCAAGCGTGTGATTCTGCTACAGACCTGTCCGTGATTAACAAGTAAAATGAGCCAAATTCACAACTTTTCTGTGATAGCAAACTTAAGGGTTTCGCGGTAAACTGATGTCAATGGAGTCTTAAATTCTTCCATCGCCAATCATCATCGAATGAAATAGTCGCGTGTAAATTAGTTAATGTCGGTCTCCATTGCCGTAATCTTCGAAACGTTTTTAAAGTAGTCCAGTGAGGTTTCAGAAAGGTTAACCAAGCATAAATGGTCAGAAACTGAAAGTTTCGCTGAGACTGGTTCGGTCTTTCCAAAGGCTTTCTCTAATAGGTAAAAGTATAAAACCGTTTTTAGTTTCACGTAACACACCGTAATCCAAAATCAGAAGCACACACATTCGTCAATAATTAAAGATCTTAATCAGATGAAGTTCATATGATCGAAAATGACCAAAATGTTTCAGCGATTTCATTTAGAGCCTTTTGATCATGAGGAGACAAATATAACTCAGCCGGATATTGCAATCTTGTACTATTGCAATATATTTCTTTCTTTTTTTATCCTTTGTCATTTCCACGCAAAATGTTGTTGTTTACTAAAATGGAGATGCAAGGTAAAACATTACATAAACTAGGCTTTAGAGTGAAAAAATTTTTTTGTAAGGGCGAATTCGACAACATATTGAAGGATTCAGTGTAAACTTCTAATACAGTCCCCGAATAATATCAGCGGCTGGGTAAGGAGGGAAGGGGAGGAAGGGGGGAGGGGGGGTTGGTGGCGGCCGAGCTGAAGCTGGGGGGAGCGGGGTAGTCCCTTACGAAAACATCTCTAGCTTACCATAAAATTCGTTCGCAAAACTACATCATCTCGTCATAGACAGTAAATGATGTTGCAATAATAAAATAAAAATTGTACTCCCAGATTTGCAGGAATCTCTGAATTCTCTTTAAAGGCTCACATATTGAATTTTATTTTATTTTTTAAAAGATTAGTCCGGAAAACTCACAGGGTTCATAGGAAATTTTAGATTATCTAAAAATCATAGGCATTTCGCTGCTTGATTCAAAAGCCTAAGAGAGCCAAGGTAAAAATGATCAAGTCTCAAGCTTGTCAAGAACTAGGATCAAAGAAAGAGTTTTGTCATTATTTTTGTTTAGGAACATGTCGGCGAACTAAAAATCAACGAAGTAAGAGGTTTAGAAAGAACTCTTCCCATTAAGGTTGTTGTATGGCAACAGAATAAACAGAAAATTTGAAAAAAAAAGGGCTTATTTAAGGTAGCGCCCTTTATTTTAAATTATCGAGCTACGTGCTCTCCAAAAAATTTTCTAATTACAAGGAAGTGCGAAGGATGTAAAGTAGAAGTAACTAGGAGTTATTTTCATTTACAGTCACCTTGAAAAAGTAGTTGCACCTTAATCAGCATCGTAATCGCGTTTATTATTTGGTCGAAACGACTCTCAGCCCATAACCCAAACATGTTTAACGATAAAATACTTAACGAAGTGCCTTAGAATAACGTTTCGGTAGAAGCAGAAGAAGCAGCAGTAGTTACTGGCCGAAGTATGAAAGAAGAGCGTTAGTGCCTCTTCATTGCGTGATTTGCTCCGAAGCTAGTTTCTCCGACATTGCATCTTATAAAATGGTTTGATAACAATTGTGTATTTTAACTAAAATCAATCACGACTTCGTCACACATGTTTGCCAGCCATTTGAATAAGTTTTCATGTTTTTACTTTGTTTTCTTGTCAGTTCGTTGTGATATTTACTCTTACTTTTAAAGACTGTTGTGATTACGTACTTTGCCTGTGGTTTAACAGCAGCCAATCGAAATGCACTCTGAAAGGAAAACAAATTGTGCTGTTCAGGTTAAATGGTTCTCGTTGCCCGGTTTCCAGATAAGAATCTTTTTTGTTCGAGACAAAGAAGGCTTATTAACATGTTAGGGAAAGGATAAAGAATAAAGAATACGGTCTGATTTGTTTTATATTCAATTTATCCATAGAAAATATGAGCGGTTAAGGAAGATGAAATTCGTTGTACCGGTCGCAAGAAGGATTCCTTGCGGTCCTGTCGCTTTCAACAAATCATGCCTGACCTTTCTACTGGTGATCGCTTTACTATTTTTTTTTGTAACGTTTATGTACGCCTCCAGAAAGACAAGTTCTGCCCAGCTAGAATTCTCTAGTCGTCACGGCGCTATGAACCAGTTCGTCTCTCCACATCATTTACAAGTTGAGCTCACTTCGACGAGGAATTTTGAAATCCCTATACATGCAAAAAAGGCAAAAATTATTATTTTGTCCTACCCAAGGTCTGGATCTTCATTCTTAGGCGACATATTTAATCATCATCCTGGAGTTTTTTACTTATTCGAGCCACTAATTACGGTACAAAGACGTTTCAGCAGAGATTCGTTATTCGAATATGACTTCTCGTCTTCTTCCTATCAAACCGCAGCGAATGAATTCCTAAGTAATGTTGTGAGATGCAACTTTGAAAGAAGTAATTTTACCCGCTACATTAGAGAAGCTGAGCGCAACAAAAGCTTAGCACTGAAGTCTTCCCCGTTTTGTTCTCAGGATGGATCATGCAAAAAACTCAAACCAAGGCAACTTGAATATGTCTGTCGAAACAGCTACAGCGTTTTTGCCGCAAAAGTGTTGTCACCCAGAGTACCAACCTCCTCTGACTGGATAAGAACGTTTTTACAAAGCTGCAGCTCTGTCAACAATGCCAACCAATGTAGAATTTTTCATTTAGTGCGCGATCCGCGAGCTGTGGCTTATTCTTTAAAGACTGTGCACTTTTTTAGGAGGAAAAAAGACCAACAACGTGAATTTTCGTGGTTTGTGAAGAAAATGTGTCGTCAAATGGAGTTAGACCTCAGCGGTATTTCGACCCTTAAAACTTTATTACCCAATGGATACCGGTTGATTCGGTTCGAAGACCTCGCTGGGAATCCCTTTTCAATGGTGAGCGAGCTTTACAAGTTTGTCGGCATGGAAATGTCGGATGAAGTCAAACAATGGCTGTACGAGGCGACAAAAGCTGGCAATGCCCACAAAGGAGCCTACGAAACCATTCGCGACCCAAAGGAAGTTCTTGAGAAATGGAGAAAGAAAATGAGTCCTGCACAAGTGAAAATTGTTGAGGACCATTGTGCAAGAGTCATAATACAACTGAATTATTCACTGACTTAGAAGTGTATATATGTCCTTAGCCAGGTAAGAAAATAAATTAGTATAGGTTATCGTGATTTCGAGTGAAATTTGGGAGAGTAACAACATGATTTCTCATGCAATTTGGTTTTAAAAAGCACGAGTAAATTTTTCGAGACGACAAAATTGCACGAGCCCGAATTTATAAGTTGTTATTTACACCAAATTGCACGAGATATCATGTTGTTACATGTGAACAATTTACATGAAAAACGCATCAAAGAAAGTCAAAACGGACGAAATTTTGCAGCGCGCGCTATTTGTAATTTGCACACATGTTACATAAAAAATGCACTCGTTTTCAGCCAATCAGCCGCGCTTGATTTTTTCATGTATATTATTAATACTAATACAATGGACAGCGTTGAAGGCGCGTTCTGATTGGCTAATCAAACTCCGAATATCCTTTGACATTTACCTCCAAGCAAATCGGGCGGGATTTGCGCCCGAAAATATTGTAATCGTTGCAGGAATAAATTAGTTTAAGTTATCTCTTTGTGCTTTGCTACCTCAATATTTTAGTATACATTGGAACAAACATTTACCTCGCTCCTTTATTTTCTCTTGGAATTACCAAGAAGACCTTTCCTTAAACGCCTGCAGTAGTCTCAACAATTTACTTGCCAGTGAAGTTAGGAAATGTCGGAAATCTCGATAAATTACTCGCCAATGCGATATCTTCCTTTCCAGTGGATATAATCATTACAATTACATAAAAGACCTTATAAAATTTAAAAAAAGTAAAAGTAAAAGCATACCACATTGTGAATTTCTCATTGCTATATAACGCGGTTGTCATGAAAATACAATTTTACATCCGGGTTTTGTATTCGCGCGCTGTTGCCTGGCGACCAAATTTTATGTCAATTTATTGTCTTTCCTACCAGGAAATGTTTTTACATATAAGTTCGCTTTATCCTCTCTTGGTTACGTTCTCCATCAAAATGCAGACCGGAAAACATGTTTGCGCTCCACACCGCATACATAGACAGGTGTGTTTACGTGAGAAAACTCTCGGCAGCACGAGCTCCATACTGAGAGGACTTCTTGATTTCGTGCTGCGTTTAAGAAAGCATCAGTCTTCTCTTCATCCCTTGTATATTGTTTGCGAAGTCGTCAGTAGGACATCATATCTAAACCTTTGTTATTTTAAGGTTCTCGTCATACCAAAAGGGTTTCAGTTGATGTCAGCAACCGGCTAAAATGTCATATAACAGCCAACTCATTTTTCACTCACAACAGCCTAAAGGGTCGCATGAGCTCTCGAGGTCAAACAATAGAAGAGGGAAGCTATAGGAAAGAGCAAATGCCTCCGCTGGCTTTAGAAAGAGGAGGAAATTTAAACAGTCAACGAAAGGAATTTCTGAGTTTACTTTCTAATTACTGCATTCATTTTCCAGATATCAGAACTAAAAGTCTATTCTATACACTTAATATTCGACCCCATAGATCTGCATTGGAGTAGCATTTATATCAATCAAGAATTGAGGCGTAGTTCAGTTAGAGGAAGATGTTTCTGGGGTTCTTGTCGATGCGTTCTGGAATTCGATGTTTCTCAAGTTATCGCTATTTTAAGCGTTTTATCTGCAGAAACTTTAAAAATTTTTATCAGCGCAAGGTTCAGATCTGTGAGTGATTTCTTAACCTTGGAGCTTACCTATGAATTAGTCGTTACTACTTGAGATTGTTTATTGCAAGGTTACAAGTCCCGCTACCTCACATACAAGCGCGTATCTTTTGTTAATAGTAGTTGAAGTTGGATTTTGTAGTGACATTTTAACAACAGGGCAGTGGTACATTAAATAAGAAGATATTGTGATCCGATACACCTGGTACCCTTCGCTCAGCGAGTTTGTCTAAAGCTATCTTCCCCCTAACTTCACAACAGTAGTCTTTAAATAAGAAAACAACAACAGTAGCAACAAAATATTGTCCAACTTCAGTAAAGAACTGGAGCAAACGTAAGCAAAATCAATGTTGGAATTCAACGAAATGTCCGACGGAAAGTAAGAAATCGGCATGGACGACGTGGACTACAGGCTATTAATGGATCCGTTAGCTTTCTAGGTAAATTAAGCGAAGCAGAATATTAATAACCTATACACAACTTGATACAATGTGCTACTGCCTCGACCCTAAGCTGAAGCTATCACGTAACACGGAATAAGTGACCACTATTAACCTAATTATTCTATAAATAATAGAATTTTTAAAATCTTGACGTTCAAGTACCACAACTTCCTCTTTATGTCTTTCATCAGCTGTGATATTTACTGGCACGACGCAGACACCCAGAGCTGTACCGAAGGGCGCCCCATCTGATTCAACACGGGGAATGGTGTTGTCTAACGGCTCTTGAAGACTCCTACGGCTATTTGTAACATTTGTGGATTCGGGTACACTGCCTTGGCGTGGTGTGTCCTTGCTAGGGTTTTCCCATAATGCATGCGTGTGGCCACTTGATTGCTTGTGATCAATGGAGTTAGTTGAGCTGGTTGTCTTTATGGTTACACGAGAGACATTTTCGTTACTGAGGTCTTCTGTGTTTGCATCATCTACAACAGAATAATTAAGAATAAGACATTGAATATCTAACCCACAACCCATAGTTCCACAAGTTTGTAGAAGTTAATAGCAGAACAGCGTATGAGACAAAAACGCGAGTCAGGAGTTTAATTTCTGACCGTTTTTGGTTATGTCTTGAAAGAAATAAACTAAGTTTTTGGTATCTCTCTAGCGTATCCTAAAACAATTATTTACCTCAGTGACGGTTAAAATGGTGAAAATTCACCTTCACCTCGGTGAAAAATTGTTTACAATTAGTATAGACCACACGGGCGAATACCACTTTTCGCGCAAGCTGATTGGCTAGTTCGGAAGTGGTTAGCAAGTACTGTTCACCTTCAAGCAGCCGAAGGCATCTTCTCATGGAGATTTCTTGAATCTGAGACGGAGTCAATTAGATTTTCAAATATCAAATTCCTTAAAATCGCGCGTCAACAGTTTAATTTCCAACAATTTTGGTTTCTGTGTAGTATATACAAAAACAATTATTCACCTCCACTTCGGTAAATAATTGTTTTAACAATTATTCACCGAAGTGAATAATATTTAAAAATAATGAACAAAAATACTTTTACAAAAATACTAGATTTGCATCTTCATACCACTCAAATCTATTAGGTGTACGTCGCCCTCTTGCAAACCAGCTTTAACCAAGATTGCAATGACATCAGGCCTTTGGATATTCCTCAGCATATCCACTAAGTGCCGGACTGTTTTTGCTCTTTGAAACATTATCTCGAGCACCCCATTCATCATTCCATCCGCACCATAGTAGTCTAAACTTTGTACTGTTTGAAAGCTCAGAGACATCTCGGCCGCCATGGCTTTCCAATTGTTTCTGAGGGGGCTAGGGTTGTTCAGCAACATAACAAGCTCGCTGAGAGTTGAACTTGGGACATCTTTCAATAGTTGCTCTGAATAACACACACAACCAATGTAAAATTAAAGCAAAAACAAACTAACACAACAACAACAACGAAAAAACAACAAACAAAAGAACAAAAAACCCCAAAGAATTAATAAAGGTGAGTATTCATATTTATCGTGATTCGAGGTAACTTATCTTTTTGCTTGATGTTTCCTCGATTTAAGATGAAAGATGCCTACATCCTTTCTTGAATAAGCAAAATTTTTCAATTATTGTTTATTCTACCCCAAACGCGCTTAAGTGTTACATTCAAATTACGTCCTTTTTGAAAAGTTCTAGAACACGCGGTTAAATTTTCTTGTGTATATATATATATTTATTGTTTTTTTAGAGGGCACGGTAACGAATCTTGCAATCTGATTGGTTCTTTACCCGGTCAGTATTTTCCTATCTCTGCCCACGGGCCACGGTAACGCTTTCGTGAATCGCCGGGTGCATCCTAACTTTCGTTGTCATTTTTCATAAATATACCTCGTTTTCCGGCTGGGCAGTATTTTTAAGCAAACACGTCGGTCACTACCTCAAGCCGATAAATAACTTTTGAATCCTCTCTTTTCTCTCTCTCAAATCACTTTGGTTGACAGAAAAATATTGGTCTAAGAATGAATTTGTATAAACAATATTGGTTGACAAGCGGCCTAAAAACCGTCTGCAATTAATTTTAATCGTTCACAAAAAGTACCCAGAAAGTTGAAACGTGAGGTATTTGGTTACAGTTAAACTGAACGATGGAACTTTCATTCATTTAATATCTGAATTTTCTCGAGCAATTTGTTCATAGTGAAATAGCGAGCGAAGTTTTAATTTAAGTTCTACAACTAATATACGCTCCCGGTGAGTCTTTCCAATTCCGTTCAATTTGGACATTTGTACCGTAAATTGCACAACAGAAATTGAAGGAATTTTTTGAGAAAAGGCCGCATTAAATTCCCTTGTGTCTCGTTGGAGTGTGCCGTTCGTATTTAGTTTTTGTGAAGCAAAGACCAGAGTTAAACACGCCATTACAGCAAACAAACGAGCAAACTCTCACAACTTCAAAATAAAAAAATTGAATTTGCTCACAATTACTTTCCTCGCCGTTTACTTAATGAACAGAGGTAAATCTTCGTACATGAATGAATGGTCGATGAGAGTGAGTAATACTTTCCGTTAGATCATTGACTGATTTTGAAGAAAATATTGTCGTGACAGTCCTTGCCAAACTAGTTCTGTTGGTTTTCAAATGTTCCTTCGCTTTTTTTTTCTTGCGCGCTCTCTAATTGACAGGTGTCAGATTGTGACAGATACTTGTAAAAATAATGTTTCAAAGTTTGTTTGGAAGCCTTTTAAATCACCTTTATCGTTACGGAAATGAAAATGTTTCGCTGAGGCATCTCTCTTAAATTTGCATCACCTCTATTTCAACTACCATTTACTCACTCAAAAATTGTTCAGTTTATGGAAGATCTTGCCGTATTTACGGCCATAAATCATTCGCGTTCTTTCGGAAAGAATTTCGTCAAGTTTAAAAACAATAAATATGTTATTTACCGGCTAAGGGTCGGTCCGTATGGTGAAAAACTGTGACCTCGGTCTTGAAAATGCTGCCCTCGGCCTACGGCCTCGGGCAGTATTTTCAAGACCTCGGTCACAGTTTTTCACCATACGGACCTCCCAGCCGGAAAATAACATATATATATGCGACAAAACGTTTTCATTTGCTTATAGACTTAAATAATTTAATAAATGTCAGGAAATTGTGCTTTGACAGAAAAAAAAATAAAAGTAAGATGTTCAGTTTTATGCAAATAAAAGTTTCGAAGTTTACTTCGGTTGCGTCCAAACAGTTTTTGTAAGGTCAATGCCTTACAAAAATGTTAGTAATTTCGAGTTACATGAATTTGTTTCCAAAAATGCATATCTCATGCAGCAACCAGACAAAACTGTCATGTTATACGTTTACAAGTTAATATTAGTCTTTATATTCTCCGCACTTTTTCTTTTTACATTTCTTCTGGAATTGACAAGGAGAATTTATCTGACAATCAGGAGCATCTTAAATTGGTGATCATTTCCTTTATTCTCATGACCTTCATATTTGATTCAAGGATGATACTGTGAGGAGAAATTAGAAACCAGTCACTCTTAGAGGTTTAAGGGTTTAACGGTTTACGAAAACATTCTCACCGGGGCCTGTGATTCTTTCTGTAGTTGTTCTTACTGATGGACCGGTGGAGTAGCTTGCTGTTACAAAAAAAAACAAAAAAATGCTCAGTTTTTCACATATCTGACATTTATTTCTGTTTTTGTTTTCGTTTTGTATTATTATCAGTATTTTTATGAATATAATCATAATCATTATATTCATCATATTTACTACTAACATTGTTAGTATCATTTGGAATATTCCTACATTTTGTTTGCTTTTTGATTTGTTTTGTTTTACTTTTTGTCTATTTTAGAATCAATAGAGATTGTCCAAACCAAGTAACTAAATCGTAGTACGACTCTTTAATTCTTAGCATTACCTCTTCGCTGCCCGGAGTAACAAGTCATTCGCGATCTGTAACCAACATTGACGTTTCCCCCAGTAACGAATACTGAGTATTTTCCTTGTGTTGCTAAAAAAAAAAATAAAAGGCAAATACAAATATCAGAAGAGGGCTATCGATTAATGTAGCGTACAAAAAAGCCCTCGTTACTGGAGCTTCGGCGCGAGCGTTTCTTCGCCCGCGGGAAAGTGGGAAGCTTTGAACAACACGAGCCAACGAGGGGTCGATCCTCGAAGGGTCTAACATTATTAGCGCCAGACTCCCAGCTAATCTCTATCCGACTCATCTGAAATTTTCCCTTGGGAGGAGAAACTTGTGTCTATCAGCGTTAATGATAAGGGCTGCTCGCATGCTACGATCAATGAAGTTCGTTCAAATTTTATGGTTACACTTATAGTTTTCAGTTGTAACGCGACAATTCGTTACAACAGAGAGGCTTTCCTCAAACAATGTAGTAGTGTTTCCTTTAACGAAGAAACTGAAGCAAAGTGTTTTTTTTTTCTACGCCTAGCTGTGTATTCTCATGATTTGCGTGGAAAGCCTCTTTCGATTAAGAAAAGTCTAGGAAGTATAAAGCAGCATCAGTGTACCTTGTAGGAGCCCAGCCATCAGCTTTGTCAACACTAGGAGACAAAATTGTAATACAAGTGGCATAAATTATACTTTTAATGTACATGAAAAAATTACGCGCTTCTAATTAGCTGAAAACGAGCGTATTTTCATGTAATGCGGGTGCAAAGTTGTAACGTGAGTGCAAATGTCAAATAGCGCGCGTAAGCTTTCGAAATTTCGTCTGTAATGACTTTCTGCGATGTCTTTTCGTGTACACTATTGACAAGTAATAACATCATTTCTCTTACTATTAATTTGGTGTAATGAGCACTTGACAAATTTTCAAAGACTACAAATTGCACTTGCCTTACGCGCTCGGGCAATTTTTCTGTCTTTGAAAAATGTATTCGTGCTTATTTACATCAAATTGCACTCGTAAGCATGTAATCACATGAAATTATTTTGTTTTGTGTTTATTATTATTATCATGCCGCTCATTGAAATTGCTTTATTAGAAAAATGTCCGTTTTCAAACACTATTCTAACTTTGAATAACCAATATGGCTGGTGAAAGTTATTATCCGACAAGACTTGATTGGGAAGTTTGTCGTATCCTACTGGTGAGGATATTGATAACATCGTTCCCGCTTTTGCGACTCTTTTTCTTTGAGAAATCAGTGGATTTGCGATGCTCAGCACAAATAGAGAAAATTTGTGCAATGGACCAAGGCTATTCCAACGCACTTACTATTTAAGAATTATATTATGACCTCGATAATTCTATTGAGGTGATAGTTGACGAGAAAGGACGTGGACCGAATCAACTATCACGCATATAAATTTCGCAGGAATAATCTAATTTTACAAAAGAAATCAGTTAATCGAAATTAACATCGCGACAAGTTCGTGTTTTTATTTTATTTTGTTTAAATTCGTACACTATCAGACTACTCATTCAACATGAGATAGACCGCGAGTAGCGTAGCCAAACAAATTGCAGCGTCTGTCATCGAACAGAAGTTCTGAGATCTATGCTATTCCTGTGTTTATAATAAATGATAGCAGACCGATAAAGTACCGTCCTAAAAAAGCTTTAATCATCGAATCAATTCCGGCTTGAACTACTTTCACTTTCACCACCACAGTTAAAAGTAAGAAATCTGTTACTGCTTTGAAAATCATAACGCAAAATGTAGTTGCGAGAGAAGCATTTTAATCCTCTTCTTTTACGGAAAGAGTTTCTTTGGCAAGCAAGTCACTTTGTCTCACTCCTACCGGTAATCATGCTGTTTAACTGGCCCTTAAATTATTTATTCCCATTTTTTAATTATGCTTTTTGGACGTAGATCAAAATAAACAGTGGGTTATAAACTTGTAAAGAAGATGCGTCGCGGATACGACGAATATAGAAAGTGAAAATGGCTATTTTTAGTAATCCCCTGTCGCGATATATGAAGACCTTATAATTGCAATATAAAAGTTTGTTCGCACAATTGTGCATCTTAAAAATGATGAAACGCAAAGACCTAAAACAGCAGAAAATGGGTAAAGAAGAACAGGAATGAAAAAAAATATATATTTGTGATCAGTACTTCGAAATCAATCCGAACTATTAGGGAAACTGTAAAACTCGCTTTCGTGATCAATTTAAATAACACTGAGTAGACTTTGCTGCGCGATACCTCAGCCTTTTGATGATCTCAGTCATGGCTGACATTGGATAGTTCTAAATCTTGCTTCAATTGTTTGAAGTCAAGAGGAAAGTTTGCAATTTCTATCACGAACGATAAGATATAGAAACAAACTAATATCAACATATTCGAACAGTAATAAAGGTTTTTGTTCATGACACTTACGTATTTAAAATATGATCTTTACACTTGCAAGTCCAGCACTGTAGGTATAGAAATAAGCCCAGCTTTTGGCTCGACTAGGACTTAAAAATCTCTTCTTTCTCTCACATATATATGGTAATTTTATTTTTCCTAATCTGTGAAAAGACCTTTTTATCCTCTCATTTCGAAAGTGCAAATGGGGAAAGCCCTTTGAGTTGTCATTTGTATTTTTAGCCTTAAAATGCCTTCAGACTTTATGTAGCCAGGCTAACTAACGTTTTTCGACCTAACAGAATCTTTCAGTTTCAAAATCCTGAGTGAAAATGGAATATTCTCCAGTGTTTTATTTCAAGACATTCTAACAGTTAACGTCATTAATTCTTTGTCTGTATGTATGTGTGCATGTTTCTATATATTGGCTCATATTGTAAGCGCTAAAGTTGCACATAATGCTGTTAAATTTAACCTTCTAGCCAAAACTTAAAAAAAAGCGTTGTATCAAAAAAAAGTTTGAAATTTACATGAGAAAGTGGATTATTCATAGTTTGCTACCCCATTAATTCTGTTTAAAACTTTGATCTCATTAAATCTTAAAATTTCATTCATCATAAGATTATAATTGTCATTCTCTGTTGAGTTATAAATTTAATTATTGTGTGCTAATTCAAACTTAAGACGACGGTAGAAAGTTCACAATATACCTTGAAAATATGAAAACCTAAGTTTTACGGCAGCTTATAGAATTAAAACAAATCTGCTGCTTTCCACAAATTTTGCAAAGGTGTTACTCGACCTGTGCTCAACATTTCACATAGAGCAATACAAACACAAAGAAAATTCACATAAAACTTCTTTGAATAAAAACTTTCACAACATGTAGATATAAGTATCCAAAATTAACAGTTGATGGGCTAGGAACCATGAAATGCCATTGTGGGCTGAAAAACCTAATTTGCATCTCATTTGCAACAGTTTCTCTGCAGCCACAGTACGTTGCAATGGGGAAAACAAGTAAATAGTGAAGGTCATGCCATACTGAGATATAAATATTAGTATTAGAGAAGACTGCAAGCCTTTAATTCATTTTCATGAATTACAGTAAGAAAGTCAAAGTGAACAACTCTGAGAGGAAAAACGTCAACTCATTTTATTTATAGTTAAGGCTAACTATCGGTTGATGCACAATGAAGTATTTTAAAGGAGGTAAATTACCTAATTTATCTTTACAAGAATAATTTTTTCCTATTTTGTGACTTTTTTTAAGTTTGATTGCTTTTGTATTTTTTAACTTTTTTTGTTTGCATCTTTATTTGTTTGTTTTTTCCATAACACACTAGAGACCTGACCTAACTCAGTAATTAAGGTTACTACATAGATGAACAGTTTCAATCTATTGATGGCTGTTACATTATGTCTATTCTGGATAAAAAAAGGCCAAAAAATTTTGGTCCAATTCCCATGGCAACCTTTACCAAATTTATATAGGTACAATAGTATAATCATAATGTCAAAATCTGTCTCTAACATGAAATTAATATTATTTTTGTTTCTGTTTTGGTTGACCAAAATTTTGTGAAAGGAGGACCTTTACGACACACAGTAAAACATGTGTATGATTAAAATCTTTGACACATTTTTGACTTTTTAACTCCATTCCTTTCACAATTAGAGGACTGGCATTTCTCACTGGTATTCTGTGGCAAGGGAATTCTGCGGCAAGGGAATTCTGCGGCAAGGGAATTCTGCCATAAATATATTAGACATTTTGCTATGAAAATTCTCAGTTCTAGCTAAGATATAACAGAGCCTGCGTCAAGCAGTATTGTAGCATATAGTAATTAATGTTGATAAATAAACTATAATGACATTCAAACCAATAATTTTGAAAAGAATATAAATAAATAAATAAATAAGAGATCAACATTTCGGTAACATCAACAGAAGCATAATTTGAAGAGGAAAATGAACAAAAAACTTTGTTTCCACTAATGAACAGTTTACTGAGAAATATTTAAACAATTAACAAGCTCCTCCAAAGCATTAATTGTACTGTCTTCAAAATGTCAGGGGTTCACATGGCTGCTTCCCATCTGCAACAGGGTTAACACCTCTTCTGAGCTCTCCTCCTCTGAAACAAGACAAGACAGTAGTGATTACAAGCTCCCTCTGATTCTCAGAACTATCTTAAAAGTAATATAACTGAAATAATATTTAATAAATAATATAACTAATAAAAGAAATTTTTTTAATCTGCTCCCTTGGGTATCCTAAGTTTCTCACTTTGTGATACCAAAGAGATGCTGATGATCTGAGTTAATTCCTTTATAACCCAAAAACAGGATTGAAATAATAAGGGTGTATTTTAATTTCCTAACAGTCCTATTGTAGTCTTCTGATGGGTTGTTTCTTGCACAAGATACATGCATCAACATCATTAACACAATCTTGTCATTGTCATTTCTATCTTTAAATTAAGTGCCAACAACAGAAACTAAAGAAACATCAATAACAGACAGTTGGATCATCATGTTTATCTATTACTTTAAAAACATTTCAAATAATCAAGAAACTATGTCCAATTTGGTTTTGAAAAAGAGACATGATAAATGTTTTTTTTTGTCTGCAAAAAAAAAAAAAAGAAAAAAAAAATGAAAAAAAAATGAAAGAATGAAACAGAACACACAAAAGAAAAAAAGATATTTTTTGACTGGATGAAAAATTAAATTCTACATACAAAAAGTGTAAAATTTGCACCCATGTGGCAGTGGGTAAATGCTTCATCCTTGAATATAGCTTGTACCTGAAACACTTGGATGAAGATCTGGATGGTCAGGATAGCCAGCTTTAATGAGGACACTAAGGGCATCATACCTCTGCATCTCCCTCAACACTTCCACTAGGTGGCCAAGATTCACGTTGCGTTCCTTCATCAGTTGGAAAATTGCATCCATACCATGGCATTCATGGTCTGTGTTGTCTTTTAGTGATATTGCCTCTTCTAGTGTCAAGTTGAAGAGTTTCGCTGCTAAATCTATTCGGTCTCTTATCAACAGTGCACTGAGTTGAGAATACACAGTGTAAGGTATTGATGATATCAATTGATCTGAAAAGAAATTAATCAAAAACTCCTGTTGGTAATGAGCTGTGACTGCAATCCACACAATGAGAATAATAATGATCCTCCGATCCCTTACCTACAGTGACTACCTTAGAGCACTCTAAGTTTAAAATTCCACATATCCATATATATATGCCTATTATTTTTTCCTCTTTTACTATATAGGGTCTCAGGACATCTCAAAATGACACTGTTTGATCAGAAATCTCTATGTGCACAACATTGGAAAATCTATTACTCCTGTGAAGGTAACATGATGAGAGTTAAACTGAATAAGAAAACACTGTCTATTTTCCCTATTAATTAATATTTGCTGTTCACATTTATACTACTAGGTAGAGAGCAGCACTGAGAGAGCTAATGCACCTGGCCTAGGACTGGAACCAAAATCTCTTAATTCAGCATATACCAAACATAAGAAATTTCTCAGTAAGCTAAGGTTATGGGTGGTAAGCACTTTTTACCATGGAATAAAAAGACTATGTATTACCTGGACCAGTAATTTTTGCAAAAGTTGATTTTGATGACAATGTGTGATATCTTGTTTTATTACCTTTAAAAATAATAGTAAAAAAGTTTCATGGATTTAAGGTTCAATTTTTTTTAAGACAGACTTAAAATGAATAATTTTTTTATATTATCTTTGCTTAATACATATGTACATGAACTGTTTCATCTCTAGTGTCTAGTTTCTCCCATCAGAATTACAGTTGAATCCAACAGTATGTTCATGGAATAAAGAAAATGATTTTCTTAGAGAATATTTATGCTGATGTTTGGGTGTAAAGGGTTAATTAAGCCAAAGTGAACTGTATTTACCTGATCTTGTTACTCTCTAATATAGCTGCTACATATCTCCCTTAATTCAACATATTCAAACTGAAACAAATTTCTTGAAAAAAAATTTCCCTACCTGTTCTGTATGTGACATCCATTCTTGAGTTATCACCGCAAAGGACATGCCCACCACTAACATTGACTTTAAATTTTCTATTCCCTATTTGAAACATGGTGCAACTTTGTTATAATTTCATTATGTATGTTGGGAACACACATATAAACAGTATAGATAATTTTAACAAACGTTTAAGGAGATATTATCTAAATTACAACAAAAAAGATATTTATATTGAGTTATTCTCAGTGATTCAAAATTTGAGAAGAAATTGGAGAAGAATAAATTAAATAAAAACTTAAAATTTCAAACAAGAGTTCTGGCGATGCATTCATATAATTAGGCAAGGTCAGTAAAACTATAACAAAATATTTAACTTCTCTCCTTGCTTGTGATTATTTATAAAAATGTCAGATATGTCATTTGCCAAAAAGAATAACACTATTAAACTCTGGGTTGTTGCCAAGCACCAGCAGCTCGCAAAATTTGCAGAATGAAAAAGCGGCGATCCCCAGTTGGATTTTTGACCGTGAATGCACTACAGGGACTTTTGAGCAAATTAATGCACTTACAATCCCTGAAAATCTTTGAGTTGGCCTCTCTTAAAATTTCAGTCAGCCGCCCGATTTCTGAGCTACAACCTTGCATTACAACTTTAATTAAATATGAAGTTTTTTATCCAAATTTCTTCAGCTTTAGTACGATTTCAACTTAATTATTTTCATGCTATTACAGAGCTTGTAGCTGCCTACGAAATATGCTTCACCGCACACAGTTCCTTAATTTATTACAATTAAAGTCAGGCTCAAATACTTTACACTTCATGCACACAAAAGCTGCCTTCTGTTCTTCAGTAGCCGAATAATTTCTGGGACGAAAAAATAAAACTACATAAAGCTGACGAAGATCGCGAGAGCCCTCGCTGAACACGTTGAACAATCTACAGCAGCTCCGCTTGGTAACCAGTGTGACTTACATTCAAGTCATAATGGAGAAAAGAAGAGCTTTTCGAAGTAGAATTAATCACATAAGACATTATGTTCATCAAAATACCTGCATTCTGTACATTCATATTTACTTCTGAAATTGACTATTCTCTGTAGCTTCTTTCGAGTGTTTCCCAGCGTAAAACCGTCGTTACGAGTCAGTCCGATTTATAGTTATACGAATTCAATGTTTGGCTTGCAGATTGATTAGTGCAAACTGTTATTTAACAGTAACGACGCAACATCCACTCAGACAGTGACGTACAGTATAATTTTGAAAAGGAAACCGATAACAATTTATTTTGGGAAAATTACCTTTGGCATTGGGGAATCCCCTTACTCATGTGTTTTCGATTGACATCAACGCGTCCTCTGTGTGATTTTAGGCCTTTTAAAGGCATGCCAACAAGCGGGAGTCGGTGATTCTCTGGTATTTTACCTAACACTGTCTTAGATATCACCTCTGTAGATGTATGAACACATTTTCATCCCGAAAAATGGCAGAAACTGGGAACGGATTATGCAAGGCACTCTGAACATTCTAAGATGAAGTCCAAAATGGAAATCAATCGACTGGGAACTAATAATCGAACCCAGTTCTCCTCGTGAGTACCTGAAAGTTTAGCCGGAAGAGAAAATCCCAAGTTCCTGAAAATTTCTTCCCCATCTAAACTTCCGATGTTAAAAACGAACACGCGAGTCAAGATCATTTCGAAGGTGCGGTTGGAAGTTACGAGTTCCCTCAAACTTTTTCCCTATCTTATAGGCTCTCTTTTACAGCTAATAGTTAAAATTTTGGCCATTTTATGGCTAACGATTACTTTCTTTCCATTGTGATGAAATTTTAATTTTATAGTAAACTTTTTTACAACGGTTACAATTTGCAAATTTTTACGCGTAACGGCTTAATTTGTTGGTCGTTTTACGGCTAAAAAGTTAACTCTATCGAGAACCCTACCTTAGTGAGCGTTTGAATATTCTTGTACAGGAAGCGGATACACTAAACACCACCTCAATAGAGCCCCATCGTTCTTTACATGTTTCGACATTAGTAAATTCATAAATCTGCTGGGTTTGGACTTCCTGCCTAAGCAGTTTTCACGAAATGTACAGCTAATTTTATATTTAATGCGCTTTGTTATCTTTGGTTTCACATCCGCCCACAGACCTTAGAACTTCCACGGATTTATGGTTATAGCTTTCAAGTACGTACTCAGCATCTGACGGGTGTGTTATTGCAATTCACCTCTATTTTGGTACTATTGTACATGAGGTTTAATAGTAATTGCCATTCTCTATTTTGCCTCAGCCAAGTCATTCCGCTAAGAACTGAAAGTTACTCATCCTTAAGTCTAAAATTTCTTGCTGCTTCATAAGTCTAGCCAGGTACTGAAACCATTCGCGTTTCATACAACGAACTGAATAGTCAAACGCTAGAATTGGTCAGTCATTTCAGTTGAGACGCGAAGCTAACGTCGAAAATGCAATGTCAGACATGACACACGTTTTTGAAAATGATAGTGAAAGAGTTACGAACGTGTTCAGCCTGACCTTTTTAGAGGAAAGGAAGCAAAGAAGCCACACGAATAAAACACTGAGTCCCCCATTCTTGGCAATATTGGCATATTTTCCGTCCGATATACTCGTGATCACAGTCATTGCACGGAATATAAGAAATAGCGTCGGTTCGTTGTTCTTTCGTAAAAGGATCCTTAGGTTTGGTAATATTGGCATATATTTGCCAAACCTAGGGATCCTGCTGTCACGAAAGAACAACGAACCGACGCTATTAATTCTATTCCGTGCAATGACTGTGACCATGTGTATACCGGACAGACCAAACGTCAGTTTGTTACACGTTTGAAGGAGCATCAAAAAGAGGTCTTCTTTTGCGAAAAGGGAAATTCAGCTTTGTCGGAGCACACATGCCTAACCCACAAGACTTGCACGCAGATTTAACGAGCAGATAACGAGAGGAATAAGTCCTCTCCCCACAAAAGGCTTGAGTGCTCATCAGAGAACATCTCTATGATTTGACGCAATGAACTGATCTGACAAGCGCTTAACCACTAAACATAAAAATAAATTCACAACTTGTAATACTCATCGTAGAGAAAAAAAAACCCTCTCTTGTAATCGGAGAGAACTGCCCATTCATGGCTCTTCATTCTTTAATATAATAATCAAACTATCACGTTCGAGATATCAAAGAATCTTTTACGTTTAAGGGTTAAACCTTTTCTAGACCTGTTTGTGGGCAGTCAAAGAAGGAAAGTATCATTTAAAAGTTAATATGCTTTTTCAGTTTCTCTTTCAACTTATACGCTCTATTTACACCGTATCACAATATATGTGTGCGATTCAGAAGTGTATTAAAATATTTCCCTACTCTAACTCTCCCCGTGGGGAGTTACCTGAGGGACTGGGCGAGAAGAATTTCCTGCCTCTATGATAGTCCTGTCCACAATTTTTCCAAGGATGTTTTAAAAAAGCAAACTACCATGTTTTAATCAAATTATTTCGCAGTTTCTTTTATACCACATCTAATTTAAATACACCATTTCCATTCACAGAATTAAGATATCTTGGTTAAGAGAAGACTTGTCTGTATGCCTCTGATCGTCCATTTTGATGGCGTAATCGTTTAAATCTTGAACCCTGAGGACAAGTAGTAAACAAAAGGGAAAAGGGAACAAGAGAAGAGTGAGAAGTAATTAACTACAAATTTGTACACAAATCAAGCCTTTACAATCTAAAATAAGTAAACACAGTCTGCGTACTATTCTCTACTTTTCTAAGCTGTTGAACGATCAAGAGCTTCTCCAGTCAGTGATCACTTCCTTGGTTCTCGTGACTTACATGTATGATTCAGGGGTGATATTGTAAGGAGAAATTAGATGTTAGTCACTCTTAGGGGTTAAAGGGTTAACCTCGGTGAAAGTCAACAAAACAAGTAGGCTAGTACTTTTGATTGAGGGGCTCAATTCGGGCGATTTCCAGCGCAATAATCAGTGGACCACGGTTCTTTCAACTATGACGTGCGAAAGGAGTTTGGAGCGGATGGGGGTTGGGGAAGAGCAGCAGCCTACGATAAAACAGCAAACGTATATTGTGTCGTTGAGGTAGGCTAGTTCTAGGTACAGTACTTACTTGTAATTTGCTATGCTGTCTGTTACCCATTCTAAAGACACAGGGATCGTGTTCAAGTGACGACAGACAGCTGTGACACAAAGGAAGAAAGATGTGTAAAAAAGACGATAATATTAACTTAGTAGAAAAAGGAACAATGGCCAAAAATAAAATTGTTTCAAACAAGATAAAGGTAATCAGTTTTCATATGAGAAGTGACAGTGTAACAAAAAAAACTGACAAGAACAAAAAACAAAAACAAGGTGAAATGTTGACTGTAGCACAGCGTAGAACTAAGAGAATGAGCCTTACCGTTCAAGTGATCAATGTTTGTTTTCGTATCTTTATCAAGGACAACAACTTTTCGGCCATCCTAGAAAGACAATAGCATTCAATTAATGCCAGGCTCAGGGGATGCATCGGAAGGGTTTTTAAGTCGGGGAAAGAAGAGGGAAGTGGGATGGGAGATGGAGCAACACTTTCGCCATACAGGTAATTTAGGGCATGCTAGTTAGTTCTGTTATTATAAGTCACCACTTTTCTTATTAAAGACATGCGTTGCACTACCTTAAAAGCCTACATCCTTATCTAGAGTTCGGGAAATTACAATGAGTTAAAGAGGAAAAAAAACACAAACAAACAAAAGAGACAAAAATATATAAGGAAACATGAAGAAATGAAAATGAAATTAAAAGAGGAGAACAAATAGACTCACCTTTCCGATTCTTTTTAAATTTTCAACATCGGAAAAGACATGTGCTCCACAAAATTTTAAAAGCTGGCTGAGCTGGTCTGTAGTTGAAGGAAAAAAAAAGCCATTTAATAAAGTCATTTTTTGCGCCGCTCGCCTCGCGCTTGCTTCCGTTCGCCTGAAAACGCAAAAAAATCACACCTGTTCCGCAGGCTATTTAGGAAATTAAAAAAAGATGAGATTTTATGCAAGATGTAAGAGCTATAAAGGCTCACAACTGAACAGCTTCTCAAAATTCACTTTAATGCCACAAATCTTTACAAGGAGCAGACAATTCAAAAGAAGTACCTTTTGCGACCGCTGCACTAAACTTGCCAAAGCAGAGAACGTGGAAGTCTTCGAACAATAGTGCTTCCTGGAAAAAATAATAAGTAGGAGACGAGTTTTGGGAGAGATATACCTAGAAGGCAAGACCAAGCAAGAGAAAACCTTCAACTGGTCAGCTGGGTTCAACCGATGTTCGTGAGATCTTAAGTTCGGTGCTACATCGCAATAACAACGAAGTCTACCGCTTGCGAAATTAATCGGGGTTTTGTATAAAATCTCACTTTCATCGCATACAGAGGCTAGTTGAGTGGTAAATGCTACAGAGTGTTTAGTACAAATTTAAACGTTTGGTATTGTTTCATTTCCTAACAAAGGCATATATTTTTTTAGACATACCTTCTTACTTCTAGCTGTTCTTGCCAAGCAAGGGATAGAAGTTTGTCCAAGACCAGCGTCACCCCTCACTTCATAATCCGCCTGAGGAAAAAAAATAATGTATAACTCTTAACCCTTTACACGCTAACATCGGTATTCATATCCCCCATATTCTGTTCTCCTTTCATTTCCTCTGGAGCTGACAAGAAGAATTTGTCTGAAAATCAGGAGCTTCCTAAATTGATGATCATTTCCTTTATTCTCATGACCTTAACATTTGATTCAAGGGTGGTACTGTGAGGAGAAAGTAGAAGCCAGTCACTCTTAGGGGTTAAAGGGTTAAGGAGTGAACGCTTGTTATTCTCCCCTTGATTGTGGAAAAAATGTAACTGTGGCATTCAAGGGATGGTGCCATTATGAAACAATCCATGGGTAAGTAGCCTTAAACTAATCGAAAATATGTTTCTCTCGCGCGTGATTTTTTCAAGCGAATGATCGAAAAGACAGTCAGACAAACGGACTGGTAAATTAGCGGGCGGACATTCACTGAATTACACGGAGGCTAGAATAAGTACTCTAGTCCAGCTTTAAAGCTGAAATCGTCCAACCCATAAAAATAACGAAAAGTAAATATATATGTGCTAATATTGAAGACCTACTTACCTCCGCTACAAGTGCTTTGGCTGCAATACACGCAGTGATCCCTAAAAAAGAAGAAAAGGGAAAATTGTTGCAAAAAGAAGACACACGAAGAAAACATTTTTTGTCGCAATTCAACTGCTGTCATGCAAAATGCAGCAAAGTCAAATGACGTAACCACATTGAAATTTAGTTGCTGCTAAAAACACTTTTCTGCGCAAAAGAGAAACTCGATGTATGTGGCTACTTTTCTTTCCTTTTGAGGTGTACTCAAAGTAATCTGCCTACTATTAAACTGGAAAATATCATGGAAATGACGTGCACTAAACAAGCGTTCAATCACTCTTCATAGTAAGGCTAGCTGCACGAGGTCGCACGACGATGCGACCCCTGGGCTTTGATTGGCTTCTCGAGCTGGAAAGATGGGTTTATATCCAGCCTTGTTGACCTAGCACTTGGTTAATAGCGCTTGCTTCAAAACACAAAAGGCATGATTACTGTAGCAAGAAAGAAAAGTAGGATAGCGGAGCGGAGAGTAGCAAAGGTATATCGGACTCGACTGGCAAACTGACACTGTGAACTTACAGTGATGACTGACAATCCATTTGCCAAGAGCCAATCCCAGTAGGTACTTCATGGTATAACTATGACGTGTCACCTGCATGTTTTCATCTGAAAGGAGCAAAATTCATTGCCGTTATCATCTTAGAACACAATTTGACCTTATTATGTTTTATGATAAATTTAATGATGTTTGATAAGTCAAACATTCTTGTTCCTGATCCGCCACAATAATCTCCTTTGATAAAAAATCCCTCAAAATAAAACTAAGCCCCCCCCCCCCCCCCCAAAAAAAAAAAGAAAAAATTTACTACTTTCAGTCAATAAAACACTCCTTACGAGAATCAAGTTTAAATTCTTATGTTTCGTTGTCAGACTCAATATAAACACACATTTATAAATCAATTACCCGGCAACTTCTCTACGTACAACTTGATGAATCAGAAAACTTGAAAAATACAAGTGATAAGTTTCGTTCTTTGTTAAAGCTCTACTTCCTGGACAAAAAAATTTAAAAATTAAATAGAGAAATATTAAATAAGAAATTTTAGTCATGTAGAACCGAAAAAAAAAAAAAAAAAAAAAAAAGAGAAGGACAAAACCCTCACGCAAAATTTTACGTAATACGGTATGTAGAGAAATCTGGAAATTTGTGATACATGTACACATACCGTTGGTCACACAGTGAGCGTCCGGGTCATGAGCTATTCTCAATAGTACACTTAAAACGACGTACCAGACAATATTTACCAACCTGTTGCCATGATCACGTGAGTAGTCTTGCTGTTAAATTCGCTAGCCAGCTTCCCGCCATACGTTTCGGCAAGAACACGAGCTTCCGCCTGCAATTAGACCAACAATTGTAAGCTACAGCGATAACCGGCCTGACTGAATACATTAAATGTTTTAGTTCAAAAAAGAAGGATAACACAAAGTATTCCATACGTTCCATACATGCTGCAAAAGATCATCACATGCTCCTGATTTTTTGATGATTGGGACGTAACTCATTTCAGTTTTCAGTTGTTTTGTAGCGTTCACAAGTAGGCTCGCGTATTTGAGTTTCTCCTCACGGCCCCTTTTCAGGCACAGCCGCCTGTTACACCAATGGCAGCCACTTATGGAAAAGTTATTGAAAGCTTCACATGTATGCTCATTTCTGATGTTTTTGGTCGGTGTAAAGGATCGCCGAGACAATTGTTTGGACAAGTCGTTGCAAAAATCCTAAGAACGACCCGAGCGTCATCCTTAAAATCTGTCAGTGGGCGCTTTCTGTCAGCCCTGGAGAACTTCCGCTGACCACCTCAAACGACTTTTTCTTATTCTAACTGAATAACAATAATTTTAGGGGGATAGAAATCTCAAGTTCCAGAGCAAGCGATATACTTACCAGCTGCTTCCTGTTTAGACGAGTAGCCACAAAAGATGGAGGTTTAGTCTTCTCACTTCGTGAGTTGTCCTTCTTCCGGTTCCTCGGGCTCTCTCTTTTTTTCGTGGCAGTGCTCAGTTCTATGAATGTCTCATCGGATAACCGACATTGAGCACGTGACACACCCTCAATCAACAGGCCATCAGCTGACAGAGAATCTCTTGATGTACTTTCTTGGGATCGAGCATCACGTGTCACAACACGTGCTCGGTCATGCGGCATATCGTCACGAGACGCAGTTTTATGTGACAGTGGCCCCGTAGAGTTCCTTCCAGAGATCGTGGAGGCTTCAGCAGAGCGCTTGCGTGAATAAATGAAAGGAGATCTCTTCTTTATAGGCGATAGTCCTTTTGCCAACCCATGTGATATTGGAGAATGACTGGCCGCATTGACATCTTTCACTTTTCTCGTAAACAGCAAGCTAACAACTGGAGATTTTCTGGGGACAAGTTCATCGACTACTTTTCTCCTCTTAACAAGCAAAAGAGACCCAGTCTTAGAATTCACAGGGTCCCTATCGTCAATAACAATTAAACCTTCATCTCTTTCCTGAGATTTTTGAATCTCACGGGAACTGCGCGGTGGAGAAGGCGTCTTATCTTGTCGGTTTCCGACCGCTGTGATGCTTAATCCATCATCTTCGTGACTAGGTGACAAAGCACGCTTCCGTGAGCACGATCTGACAGCATTTTCGTTCTCTTCAAGATTCTCTTTTCCGTTACAAGGCGTATTTCTTAGTTCGCAGTATTCCTCTCTAATGCTGGTAGTTATTTCCTCACCAGCAATGTCTTCATCTTCATCTGACGATTGCCCCTCTTGATTTAGATAGCGCGAAGCGTTTTTCAGGGGAGAGGACAGTTGCCGCATGGGAGGGATGCTCTTGGGTGTAAGCGGTGGGGGTGGAGTGAGTGAAGACGTTATGATGGCACTATCACGAGGATCTGAAATTGTAAAATTAATCTGAAAGTGTAAACGGCTTTTTTGGAAGGAAGAGTTCAAGTCACAATTACAGCTAACCAACAATTTGTTGGGTAATACCGACTTTACTTTACTTTTACCTTGGATTAATTAAATCAAGTCAGTAATTTTTGCGACTACGCCTCTCTTTTTCTCGGTTTACAATGGGCACAAAATGGCAAACGGAGGAGGAAGGGGAGATCGAAATCACTGCAATGAAAGCTATATTTTTTCAATCAAGCCTTACAACCAACCACAATGTCATTCCAGTATTGACGATACAAATTTCAGATTTGACAAATGAATCTGCATTTAGAAGAATAACACACAATGAGCTCAAACAAGTTCCTTTACATGTACAGCTGTACCTTCTTCCATGCAGTCCACGTCATCATCTATTTCTATGTTTCCTTCCTTTTGTTGCTCGTCTGTTTCAGCAAGATAAGCTCTTAGCTCGTCCATCTCTTTTTCCATCGCTTCAACATCCTGGCGAAGAACCTCCATTTTCTGAAAAAAAAAAAAAAAATTCCACTCCTATTCAATCAAATAAAGTACAAGTAACTCTAGTCTGTGAGGGGCTTGAGGGTAAATTTCTTTGGTTGTAGGTACAACAACCAGCCTCTCCACAACTGAGACTCCAGCACGCTTTAAATTATGTTTTACGCCCAAAAATTACATAGACATTTAGCCTGGCCTCTGTAATAACATCATATCGGGGTTTTACTGCATGTGAAGAGCTCTTTAACCCCATTGTCTTCGGAAAGAAATGTCAGACTCTCCATGGCAACGTAAATTAAGGAATGACGATCAGAGATATTTAAGTACATGTAAGCCTTCAAATACTGTCCATTGTAACACGATAACTCGATATGGAGGAGTTAGTGATTGAATGAAAAGACCTACCTGAGTAGAGGCGGCAGCTTCTGATAAAACTGTAGCCGACGAAGCACCAGTACTGTCCAACGCTTTACACGAAGCTAGAGGATACGATTATTTGAATCCTTTAGTTCACAATTTAGCATGCAGTTTACAAATTCCGTTCAGTTTGCGTATTCAGTAGTGCATGTATGTGAGAAGATGGATTTTCATGAGAGAGATGTATCGGTGCAGTTCTTTTGAAATTCGATTTTAAAATCTTAGAAATACATGTACAACATGTTCTTGGGAGACCAACAACGACAACGGCCATGAGAACAGTTTGTGAAAGACGTTTGGAGTGGATCTTAGCTACATTGTAATCACATTCAGTTCTGCGTGATGATGGAGTGTGGACGATTTCAAATCGTCGTTAACGTCGTTTACTAATTTTTACAAATAACCTCATCCGCTGAAAAGCTGTTAATTCAAAAATACCATTTTCTAGTTTTGATAAGAAATAGTAAATCAACTGAAAATCGAAAGAAAAAGTACTCACATATTCCATCGTCATCGTTGTCGTCATATCTCTCCTCGTCAGATGGAATTAGTTCCTGTGAAAAGAACTGCAATTCCTCTTCATCATCCTCGTCATCTTCACTGCAATTGTCATTTGGATGAGATTCAGACGACTTGGGGAGAAACACGGGCATCAGTAGAACTTCATCACTTGAAGAATCTACCTCATTATCACTAGCAAGGGCATCCCCTTCATTCCTAACGCCGAAAGGATTTTTGCGCCTTCCATCGTCTCCAAGGGAGATATCCCCTTCATCATAATCACCACGGAAACAGTCTTGTTCACCGCTGTCGCGCACACTTGCCCTTCTTAATTTGTGCTTGAAAACGTCAATTACGTCCTCAGTGTTTTTATGCGCAATATCATTATACGAAGGGACAGGAGAAATTTGAGAATTTCTTTTGTGTTCTGTACCTGTCCAGGAAAACGAATCCTGTACGTCACCGTGAACTTTTTGTCTATCTAAACTGCATGTTTGTGGCGACGAATTTGTTTTCTCTGCATCAGGGCAAGGCATATCACCCAAGTTCTTACAAGCTCTTTCTTTAGAATTTAAAACATCGGATCGAATTTCATTGTAAGAACTTTGACTGAAAGTTTTGTCTTGGGAAACGCAACGATCAGGTAGTGTTTTATCACAAAAATTCTTATTTATTTCGAAGTCATCAGGTGATTGACTAGGCGTGGCGTCCCATTCAGTGATTGCATTTCCTGGCTTCCTGCCTTGTGAAGACTCAAACTCCTTGCTAAAGTCAGGCACGATGGTCTCCAGGTTCTTCAATAAAGACGTGCTGTTTTCGCTCTGTTCACTGCTAGTAGAAGAACATGTAGAACTAGAAGTTGCAGATTTTGAAACACGAGGGCTCTTACTTCGCCTACTTCGTCTAACAACTGGATTTTCGGATCGAGATTTCTCGTCGTTATTCCTGTGCAGCTTTGAATTGGGATGTGACGGCCTCGAAGGAGACTGATCTAGGTTGCTAAGAGCATGTTTTGTGACAGGTTTAACCAGCGGAGTAGGTGGTATGACCTCACATTCCATGCACTCCGATTCACGACTCTTCTTGATTGTCGGACCACTCCCGGGCGTAAGTGAAATATCTGAATATGTATCATCTTGCGATGTCGAAATCATCTCAATTTTTCTTGTTTTCTTGGGAGGTGGTTCCGTCCAAGGGGCATCGTCTTCAGACTGCTTTTGGAAATGCTGTGAAGATCTGCCAAGGTCTGGTAAGTTTTCGCTACAGTTAGTACTATCTTGGGATTGATCATGTAGTGGAAATTCCAAACCATGAAGAACCGATATGCTCTGACTCGTCTCAAAGCTTTGAGTTCCGTCTGTATTGGACGTTACCTCCCCAACACCATTAGGACAACGGGCCAAGTCAACGACTTTCTCTCGCTCAGCATTCCCATATTCGACCCCGATAATATCTCGAGAATTTCCTCTCAGGCAGCCATCTTTTTGCACATCCATGCTGTTCTCTTCTTCAGTTTTGCCGTCACTGAAGGAAGGAGTTCTGGAATCTGTTGTTTTATGAGGGCTGTTTTGGTCTCCGACTGACGTTTCCAGGCCGTCGTTTCCAAACAAACATGGCGTCATGGCATCCAAAAATTCTAATGAACTTTGTGTTGGAGTGTCACCTGAGATTTGCCCTTTCTGACTTGATTTCTGAGATGTTAAATGTTGGGCCTCATCCAAAAGTTTACAATTAAAACCGTCCACAATCTCTTTTACTTCAGTTGCAGTGTGTTCCTGAGAATGCCACGTAAAAGAACTCGTCAAATGGTCTTTCTGTTTAAGGTCAAGCTCTGGTAATGATCTAGAGGAGTCAGTTGTATTAACCAAATCAGACTCGTGTTCCTCCACTTCTTTCTGGAATGGTAACCCTCGGTGACCACTTGCCGTCAGTGACATCCCTTTTGAGTAAAAGGACTGAGGCTGCTGATGACGTTTCTTTGATGCTTCTTGTTTTGATCCACTCCAGTCTGCTTCTTCTTCACGATGTTTTCTCTTTTCGTTTCCCGTTTCTTCCTCTTTGTATGCGCTTTCCTGGTCTTGCGTTTCGTGGTTTGCTTGATTTTCTTTATTTCTATCCAAAATCAGTTTTATTTGAGGACACTCTCTAGTCTTTTCATCCTCACTCAGTCTACTCTCTATCACGCTGTTGTGTTTGCCGACTTCACTCTGATCGTTTTCCTTGTTTCTTTGCGAGTTTGATCCTTCTGTTTCCTTTCTTCTTAGCAGGTTTTCTCCAAGTTGATCAACATGGGCAATCATTGGATTGATGACTGTCGCAGGAGATATATCGGAGGAAGAAACACTGGCTTGAATAATCTCGCTTGAAAGCACGGTTTTGCTGCTATCACTTCCGAATGTGGAATATTCTTGAGCTTGTTCATCATGTTTCACCGAGAGCAAAATCATGCCATTAGTATGCATTTCTTCGCTATTTTCTTCATCTTTCTGTAATTCCTTCGTTTCGTCTTTGAAAGGAGACTTCTTATTAAGCAAAGGATCCTCAACTTGTTTTAACTTCTTGCGAGTGTTTTCAGAAAACCTTTGATCGTCGCTAGTTAAAGTAGCTGCAGATTCTGCACATCTCTTTTTTGTCTTGGTTCTCAACTGCAGAGATTTCTTTGAAGCTTCAGAACGTTTGTTTGCTGGCAACGGAATCTCCGATGTTCGACGCCTTCGCCTCATCTTAACTCGTTCGCACAAATCAGATTCGGCTGCTTGATTCTGTGATTCTTCACAATCAGCAAAACTTGCTCGGGTGGATGAAAACGTCTCTTCTTCGTGTTGACTGGTATCTGGATGTTGTTTTGAACTTTCATCCGCTTTTGATAGTTCCTCTACATCTTTACTCATAAAAGGATCATCAAACAAGGAAACTAAACCTTCAAAGTCCAAACTTCCCTGCGCACGATTCTTGGAACTACTAGAAAGGCCTTCAGATTGTAACCCTTTCTTTAAAGACTGAGGTGAAACATTATCGTTATTTCGTCTATTTTTGCAGGTCAATAACGGTCCCTCTTGAGCATTTCTTGCAGAACTCTCGATTTTGATAGCCTCGCTTTCGCTAACACCCTCAATTAAGAATTCTTCCCTTTTAGGAGAAGCTTCTTCTTGATTTCTTACTTGGATTTCCCCCACGACTACATCACATCGATGTTCAAGACAATCCTGCGATGGCAAAATAGAAACACTTTGCATAGTATCTAAACTACTTGGTGAAAAACACTCACACTTGGTGCTGGACACTGCACCTTCATCTTCATTGTTATCTCCTTTTACAGGTACTGGTGCCAAGGTTGGCGAAAGAGAAATCTTGTTTTCAATGAACACTGAGTTGTCACGAGGACTTGTCTTCATAGAGGAGTCGGCCTCGGCAACAGTTTTTGAACACACAGCGCGTTTAGGCTGTCCAGAAGCAATCTGTCGTCTCCCTTTACAGTCTATGGTTTGACAATTAACGAGGCATTCAGACTCAACTAACTGGGATGACCCTTGGTTGGTTGTAATAGCATGATACTGCTCAGTTTCACCTGCCATTGAAGCTCCATCTATCGCCGGAGATGTTGAACCTTAGAATTTCAACACAGAATAAGCACATTAGATGTGTACGTGTATATGCACATGAAGATCTTAAATCACACACTCTGTACACACTATATAAGTACTAAAAATGCCGTGGCTGGGGTTGTCAAAAATATTTTGAGTAACCAGACAATGACACAAAGTAGGAGGCACTAAAAGTCTAAGGTCTATCCACAGCGAAGGGCTCTGGGAGCTAAAAGCATTTGGAGCAGCCAGCATGTTTTATTGAGTAGACAGTATAATGTGCCGGTTACTGGCTCATTTTGACAATCTTGCATTGCTCATCATAATGAGAAGAAAAAAACAAAACAAAAGCAAAAACAATTAACAACAAAACTATATTCACAATGATAAAAACACATTAATTAAAACACAAGTGTACATATAAATAGATAAACTTTCTGACCTGCTTTTAAAAGTGGTTGGAATGGCAACGTATCTATCATATGAAGTAGCTCTTCATTGACAGAGTTTCCATTTGTGTTTTCCTTGAGGAGATTTTTTGGGGCCGTTCTTCTGGAGCTTCTCGTCTGTCTTGTGTTGAAAGACTTCTTTGACTTTGCACTGTTTGTTGCTTTTTCTGTTGATATTGGTCCCAGCATTGACCTAATAATGTGGAGAACATGATAACATTCAAATAGAAAAGCAAAAAAAGACAAAAACCAAACATGAGGAAAAAATGCTTGATGCCCATACACCATAGTTGCATCTCAAAAGACTTATTTCTTTCCAATCCTTTCCTTCTTTAAATTTAAAATCAAATTATGGGCAATTAATCATTAACTGACAAAGAAAACAAAATTGTAACTGCACATGTTCATAGGTTTTATTAAATGTCTTTTCACCAGTTTAAACTTGTACAGTTAACTTTTAGTCTCACCTTATGTTGACATTAGACACAGCTTCAGGCTTTTTATTCTGCAGAGAATGGTCAGCATCATCTATAGTTTAAAATAGGAATAATCATAAAGAAAAGTGGTAAAATGATCCTCACAGACACAGGTCAGCTGTAATTGAAGAAATTTCAAGTACTGTTAAAAGCCAGAAAAAATTCAGGCTTTAACAGGATTTGAACCCAGGCTTCCCAGATACTACCACCAACAGAGCTACAATGTACATGTATATACATGAATCCACATGTTGGGAGCAAGGCAAAGCCTTGTAGGCTTTTCACTCCCTTAAAGGATCTAATCATTACTAAATGAAATCAGTAGAAAATACATGTAGTCCATTGAATACTACTCTTCAAGGTGAGCTGCCGTTACAGAAATTGCAAAAGAAAGAAGACTAAAGAAACTTGACCTGGACAGGATTCCAAAGTGTGCTTCCCAGATACTAACGGTACATTACTACCAATTGAACAGTGAGGAAATATGTTAGGAGCAAGGAAAATGTGGAAAGGTGTTCTATATACATCAGACATTAAAGAATTACCTGGCTACTATGCAAAATTCTGTAGTTTAAATTTGATGGCCAGAGCTATCTTTCCCTCAGATGTAAATATTGTTCTTCTGATATGCTGTGCATTATCATATGACCTGTCTGGCTTTGACTAAGGTTTTCTATAGGATTGCATGAGCCCTTCTAAGATTGAAGGGTTAATCCTTTAACTCCCATGAGTGACCAAGACAGAATTTCTCCTTACAATATCAATACAATATAAACCAGATAAATGATGAGAATAAAGAAAAACATCAATTTGGGGATAATTAGTTGATCCAATATTAAATTCTCTGAATTAACATTATATGAGTTGTATGATTGATAGTAAGGAGAATTACAAATTTGATCTGGGAGTCAAAAGGTTAATGTTGAATTATGGTGTTAAAGCATTTGAAATGAACCAACTTTTACACCATTTATCTCATAACAGTCAAATTTTGGAATGAAGGATGAAACACAAACCATTGTCATCAACATATATGCTGAAAGGATTCTTCCTTCTGGAAACTTTCTGCCCTACATTTTTCTGTTTGCTGACACATTTTTGTGGGGTTGGACAATGAATAGAATCTGGATCAACACTTCCTTTATCATAGACTGTAATAAGTGGCTTGAGTGGCTGTGAAGGTGGTGAGCCTGAAACAAAACAAACACTACATATGTATGTAATGGTACAATACAGTGTAAAGGAACAATAGTTATAAATCAAAACACTGCCAATTAGTCAAAAAGAATTTACACAGATTTTAAAGATTATTGCCAAGATCCTTAATAATTAAAAACTTTTTAAAATTTCAGGAGCTTTTAAAAACCATTGAGGATCTTGAAAGGAATTTAGCATTTGATTTCATGAAACTTCCAGCACAAAACTCCCCAGGGATTGTGAAGAAGAAACCCCCCTTGCAGACCCAGAGTGATTGCCCTGAATACTCACAAATATTTCTCTTGGAAAGAGCACTTCCTAACGGATGAGGTAGTCAGTTTGACATGTTGCAGTTCTTACCTGTTGGAATCCCTGTATCTTCTTGAATAGCTCCCTGTAAATTACGCACTGCAGCAGCAATTTCATTTAGTCTAGGGTTTGGTGTAAGGCTCCTACACACAGTGAGGAAAAAGAGAAAAATTAAAACCTTCTAATTCATTTTTGTAAATAATAAAATAAGAATGTCCTAATTTCCTATGGCATTTGCATGTGCATTGTGCAAAATATTTCAAAGCTCAATTAGCCCTATTGCAGCCAACATGTACCACTACAATTCTGTTCAATGCTTTTACTAAAACATCACTGTTGATGTGATTTCAACCAACCCAGCTCCCTGCACAGGAGAAAAAATGTGTACCAAAAGTTCTTTGTTTTTGCTTTGTATTCCATTTTTTAAATGGATTAAAAGCCTGTGATCTTTGTTTGCTTATTTGACAAAGCTGTTCTTTTTTTCAATTCATCCATACATAGACATTCAAAGGGTATTCTCATAAATATAACAAAGAACAAAGATTCAATCTAGTTTAATTAAAGAGTAAACAACAAAGAAAGGATATCAATATACCTTTTAGAAACTGGAGTCTTGCAGAGTGGGCAATACCATTTGTATTTTGACTTCTTACTGCTCTTTTCAAGAACTTGCTTGATGCAATGACTGTAATTTTTAACAAAAAGAATATTAAACAAGCTTCGGCTAGCCACAAAAACAGTTATTTAATACTCATCTATTTTTTTTATCAGTGACAACAAAATCAGCTTGTGGAAGTATTGCACTCATCCATTGCACTCATCCAGCAACATGTCAACAGCTCTATCTCTGAAGAAGATCAATTAAAATTTGATGTAGATACTGTAACATATTACAGGTTGATTGCAAAATTAGCTTTCATATTGAAGTCACAAATCGAGGCTAGGGGGGCTCTTGCTCTACAGTCACACTCCAAGGTGCTAGAACTCCTGGCTGGTTTGCACAACCCTCAACCCAGCCACAAGCCCCCTAAAATCACCCTTCATGCTAGAGCCAGATGGCCCAGTGGAAGGAAAAAAACACTAAATAAATAAAAAAAAAATTAATCAATAAATAAGGCTGTTTCCAAATTTTTGTTCAAATACATGGATCTTCTGGGGCTTCTCCAGTGACAGATTTAAGTGAGATATACCCTGAGGAATAAGTATTTTGGCAAGTTGTCTTCCTAAAGGACAGTAAGAACAGTACATGTAACTTAGAAAAAAATTATAGACTGTAACTGTAAACAGTCTTACACAATACTTGCACTAAGGTCTTTCAAGCAAGAAAAGATGTGGAGAAGGAGGACACAATGTGTGAAATGGAACTTTATTTAAATATCGTGTAAAAAGAAAATGGAAATCCAAAATGAGCAACTTATTGTACTTGTTGACAAACTTGTATAAAGCTTACATGTATACGCATCGTAACTTACCCACAAAACTGGTGATTACATTTCGTTGAGTGAGGATCCTTCAACAATTCAAGGCTATTAAGAAGTAATTTTGTAATATTATGAAGAATTCAACGAGATAAAATGAACAACTTACTCTTTTAGACCTCAAAACATTTAGGTAAATCGCAAAAGATAAATGTTGCATAAGTTTAGGAGACGCTAAATGCATTCATACCAAATCGAACACTCCAGACTCTTTTGCATCTGTTGAAGGGCATCTAAAACATCTTTCACTATCAAAGACATCTTTGCTTCTATACCGAAAGGACTTAATGAGTAGAAAACCGCTAAAACTTTACTAAAAACTGAGAGATACAACAACCAGGAATATTACGAGGCGCCATTTCTTGAAGTTCGCGCCTGGGAATCTTGGTTTCCAGTCTTTCACGGCCATGAACTGACAACTTTCGTGACGTCATAAATTTCTTCCTAATCTTTCTTACTGCTGACTGCTGACCAGTTTCGAACGAGTTCCCTCTCAAGTCATCTGAAACACGTTCTAGTTAGCGCTCGGCAGAAAGATCCGTAGCCTTTTTTTAGCTCGGAGATGTAGTCCAAAAACGTCAACCATGGCCTATGTCCAGATTGATTTTGAAGATCTCGAATTCTTCGAGAAATGCGGTGGAGGTGCGTTTGGCTCTGTCTATAGAGCGAGGTGGAAATCGCAAGATAAAGAGGTAGCGGTGAAGAAAATCTTGAGTCTAGGAAAAGAGGCAAGTTGTAATCAAATGGTTAAACGCGGTAGGAAGTTGCATGACCCTTTGTCAGTCAAGTCTAAACGCATAATCTTTTGTTAGGAAACTAGACATTTGGACCAGACTTAAATCAAATTTTTTGAGACTTCTCACAAATTACATGCCTTTGAAAGGCATGTGCATTTCACTGAGGTAAATCTCACCTGTGTTCTAATTTTATCACCCCGCTCTTGAAAAGTTCACGCTATTTTCAATTTTTAGCCATCTTTTTAACCATAAATGTGTGTTACCTGTGAGATCGACAATGTTTTTTAATTGTACTCACTCGTTTTACAGCAACGATGTAATTTAATATTGTTGAGGGTTACAATTCACAGCTGTGTTGTCCGTCCCAAACACATGGCTTCGTGATCTTAAAGCATGTAGGTGTCGAAGCTTACAAGTCGCTGTAACACATGTTGATTTATTTAGAATTGGGTTGATCTTTTAGCTGACCGATGCTGTTTTGAGATGCATAATTCTATATGAATTGCACTTAAGTTTTTAGCGCTTTTGACGAGAGAACATTTACACGCTAAGATCTCACTCAACATGTACTTAAGGGCTTCTTAGCTTTTTACTTACATGTAAGTATGTCAAAAGCAAAATCACCTTGTCTCAATCTTACCTCATTTTCAAGTCAAGAGGCAGACATAATTATCGCAAAGACCTCCATGTAGAGATTTGGTTGAATGATACATGTTGCCGTGTGATTGTATTCGGCTTGCATTTCGTTGTTGTTTTTTCTGAAAGATTCCAACTCAGTGCTGAGGTTTTGTAACATTGCTACTTGAAATTAATGCTTAACTTCAGTCAAGGGTAGTCCAAGTATTGAACTTTGAGAATCTTCCTCTCAGTAACATAAGCTGTCATCTTCAAGATGTTTATATACGCACTTAAATTTATTATGGCGTGTGTTTTAGGCCAGTATTCTGAGCATGCTCAGTCACAAGCATATCATCAAGTTTTATGGAGCAGTAAATTCTCAGCCCAACTTTTGCCTTGTGACAGGTGAGCAGCTTAATTAACTCTAATGTGTCTGCATGATGACATTGTTTACCCAAAATTGAAGCCCACGACTTGTTTGTAAAAAAATTTTTATTTACCATTGCCACTTTTTTGTTGTTTCGATGTGAGTGCTCTTCAAATTTCAGTGTTCTGGGAATACTTTCCAATTAAGATTTACTGGTGTAAGCAAGGTTTGGGATTGAAAATGGGTGATTATAATATAATATTTGTGAGGCAGCTATATGTATTATAAGCCTAAGCATGTACAAGGCTAGGTATAGGATTTTATAATAGCAACAACATCCATTTAAACCCTGATTATGATAAAAAAAAAAAAAAGGCTTCAATATGTGTTGATTAAAGGTACAGACAGTAGCTGATCTCCAAAGGAACTTTAATTCCTTATTTATCTCGCAAGTTTCTCATAATTTCAAATTCCAATTAGGGATGCTAAAGATAATAGTCCATTTTACAGTTGTGTACTTGGTTGCCAAGCCTTTGAACAGGAGTAAGGCTAAGGTTGATCTTGTTATGACACAAACCTTGCTGCTTTTCAAATGTAAATTACTTTGTTATCATGCTAACAAGATACTGGTCTCTATCACAACAAGGTCACCTTCAGCCTCACTCCAAATCAAAAGCTTGGCAACTAAGTACACAACTGTAAAATGGCTTATTAAGTCTCATTATTTGTCTGATATTGTATTCACTATAAAGTATTCACAAAAATGCTAATCACCGCAGGAAACCCCAAAGTCTTGTATATAAGTAATGTATTAGTGTTGACTATGTTACTCCATTTTTCAGAATATGCTGCCAGTGGATGTTTGTATGATCATCTCACAAACAATAAGCTTAATTTTGACCAGATTCTACAATGGTCCACTGAGATTGCTCTTGGTAAGCAAAAGTTCATTCTAATTGAAAGGGGTTTCTGTGTGCAATGAAAGTTATTTTCAAACATTTGTATACAACACAGAATCACATTGGTGGCATTGACCAATTACCCAATTTTCTCAAGCATGTATCAACCAGCATGGGATATGTAATAGCCCAACAGGTAGCTTGTTAGACTTAGCAGGGAAGGGGATAGGGTCATTGTGTGACATGTTTTTGGGAAAGACACTTCAATCTCATTGAGAGAACACATCAAAGTATCTCTATGAACCACCAGGCACTTTTTAAGATGATATAAGTTGTGACAGGTAATAGGTCAAAGAAACCCAGTTCTAGAGTTATCTGGTCACAAATTTCTATCAGGGATTTATTATTTACAAGTACTAATAACAAATAATACATATTGTGCAGGGTACATGTATAATATTCAATGTGTTAATAAACAGCAATCATTTTTATTGTTCCCCATATATTTACAGGTATCAATTACCTCCACAATGAAGCCCCAGTGAAGGTGATTCACAGAGATCTGAAGTCAAAAAATGGTAAATATTTTAAAATATTTGATCTTGCTCAATCAACAGCCTTATGAACTAGGCTCAAGAAACAGTGAGTTGGTACTGAAATACCTGTAAAAATGAGATTGATGTCAGTGGATAATGAAAGCTTGAAATTGCAATACCACAATCAAACTAGATTATCTTAAATTTTACACCAAGGTGAAATATTTCAAAGTTATTTAGAGTTACTACTTGATGATTTCAAAAGATGTATATATACATGTTGCACATTATTTATTGCAATTGATGTTTCCTGATCTTGAGTCAGATGTCGTTTTAGCCTTTGGAAGAAAGTCTGAGTTCAAATTTGAATGATATCTGTCAGTTGATAATATTATTATATTGGGTGTGGTAAAATACATTATTAATGATTGATCTTGGATAATAAGCAATGTAGTAGTAATTATTATCATCAGGAAAATAATTACCGGTAAAACCTTTAGTTAGCTTAGATATTATTAAGTAACTTTCCATTTACAATTTAAAGCTGTATAAACTCACTTTACCTTAACTGTTTTGTTTTGCAGTGGTGATTTGCTCTGACTTGACAGTCAAAGTAAGTGTGGATCTATTACAGTGTACAATACAGCAAGATTCATGAATCATACTGAACAATTGTGCCTTTAAGAATAGTGTGTATCCTGTTTTATAACATGAATGACATGACGGGGCATTTTGAGAATACATGTATTCTACTTTTAATATATCACCTGCCTTAAAACATTCATGTACATGGACATGTACCTTCCTCATTTCCATTGCATAGAAGTAACATGTTGATATTTACATGTAAATCCTGATAGCAAGCAGGATGTTCTTATTTTCTCAAAGTTCATATATTTACATATGACTGTTTAGGTAACATAAACAGTCATATAATTTGATATGATATTAGATGTACATGTGCACAAGTCATGTAATTAAGGACAATGGCTCCAAACTGCAATTTCGCCAAATATGTAAGATAGTGCAATTTTGAAATGTTACAGATCTGTGATTTTGGCACTTCAAGATTCCTTAATAACACAACTAAAATGTCTCTGGTGGGGACATACCCGTGGATGGCTCCTGAGGTAAGAAGAACCTACTTATCTTTTTTTTTTCTTCTCTTCACCTTTCAGTGTCAGTTATTGCTAGCAGAAGTTCCTTTTTGGTTACACTTGCATTTAAAAGGGTTGAATGTCACTTCACGATAGCTTTCAGCTATCAATTAGAGCAAGGTCTCAGTTTGAGTTTATTGCATATACACATACTCAGACAAGTAATAAATTTAGACTTATTTGTTGTATACTCAGGTTATTCAAAGCCTGCCAATATCAGAAGCCTCTGATACATTTTCTTATGCTGTGGTGAGTGAATCATGGTGCACATTCCAGATTATTGATATACATGTAGTAAAGTTTATTATTCTGTATTCCAGAGAAGCTGGCTTACAATTGCACATAATTATGTGAGCTACTCCAGTATGGGAATTGGTTTTTGACTGGACTCATTATGTGAGTTTGAATGAACCTTTTTTTTAATTATTTTAGGTGCTATGGGAAATGCTTACCCAAGAGGTACCATTTAAAGGACTTCTTGGTGTCCAAGTAGCATGGGTGGTTGTGCAAGAGGAAGAGGTAAATGAAAGAGATTTTGTAAATCCAAAAAACATTTTGAAATTTAACCTTTTGCTCCCTAATATCAGTATGCAATTTCTCCATACTGATATTTTTACATTTCCTAAGATGGTGACAAGGAGAATATGTTAAACAATCAAGAGCCTCTTTAGTTGGTGATCATTTCCCTTATTCTCATGACCTTAATGTGTGATTCAGGAGTGATATTGTTGGGAGAAATTACATGCTAGTCACCCTTAGAAGTCAAAGGGTTAAAGAAATACATGTTGATGTATGTATTAACATACAGGCTATTGTCCCTGAAGGACACACATTTAAGATTCAGCCTCAGACTGCTCCCTGTAAATAAATGCCTTTGCTGGTGATAATATGATCTGGTTGTTTTAATAAATGAATAATAAAGAAATAATTAGACAACAGATACCTGGTATGCTCTTCAGGATATTACAAAAACCACTTATTATGATAATGATGACAACAAAAGCTATGACAGTACTGAACTTGTCAAGTGTGGTTCATTTTCATTGCAAATTATTTTCCAAAGAACATGGTATTTTAGGTTTAAATATGCTTTCCTTTTTTACTTTTTAATTATTCTGAGGTGCAAATTTTATGTTGTGTAATTTTTAAAAATGTGTCATCTGTACAGTGTAATTGATTTCTTCATCTTCCAGAGGTTGACCATTCCAAGCAGCTGCCCAGAAAAGTTTGCAAAGCTGATGAAAAAGTGTTGGTTGACAGAACCAAAGGTAGTCATGACTAATCCTTAGTAGTTCTGAATCATTTGATTATGGGTGATAAATACATGTTTGGTTCTATTTATGGTTTGGAGTATTATCAAGGAATACAATCCTTTAGTCAGTGGCCAAAGCATTTGTAGAAATCTTAAAGTTGATGTTTTGAAGTCAGTTACCCTCATACAAACTAATGAAGAAATAGAGGAAGAACCAGTGAAGGAATTAATGGTGCCTTGAAAAGGGACTGCCCTGATTTCTACAGAAATGAAGAGCAAAATCCTTCTCTATCAGCATTTGAAGTCAAAAGGTTTAATTTAACCTTATTAAAAAAATTGACTATCTTCACCAATAAGTATGGTTATATATATTGATTACTAACAGTATTTTCATTTGGAGAAGGAGGGGGGGGGAAGTTGCTTTAGGAGAGGGTGGTGGGGACTTAATTGTAAATGTGTCCTATGGCAGTACTCTTTTAAGGGAGATTTTGATTGTAGCATCTGTGATATCCATGCATCAGCCTCCAGTTTCACATGTATTGCACTCTATGGTTGATTTACTGTAATTGTTACTTTTTCCTTTTGTCAGGAACGTCCAAATTTTAATGAGATTCTGTCAGAACTCAAATCCATGAGTGGAGATGGTAGGTACAATAGTATTAATAACTAAGTATTGCATGCAATTGTACACGAACAAGTAAAATCAAATTAGATTTTAATGTTAGATACCTATCACCAACCTATGACAAACAGTCATGTTTGGGACAATGACCTAAAAGTGATAAGTGAAAGTCTTTGGCACAGTAAGGAGAGAAACCATTTGGGGGTTATCATCAGAAACCCTCAGTACCTTTTGTTACGGCATTCTTATGATATTGTTTTGTATTATGTCATTTTTATCTTTTTTCCAGCTTCTCTACAACAGGAAACTGACTCCTTCATTGAACAGAAAAAGAATTGGAGGTAGGTTAATCAAATATTCAGAGACATTTCTGTCTGTTAATAAATACCTTTTTGTTGGTTCAGCAGGATCCCTATTGATTACAGAGAGAACTCTGTAAATAATTTCAACAATGTCGACTAGCTACTCGTTTAAATGAACAAGGATGGGGAGTTGTTTCAATTTTTCCTCAGCTACAGCTGTAAGGTGCTTTTGGTGTTTGCACTGTAGATCTTAACCCTTTAACTTCCAAGATCTGATTTTAAATTCTCCCCTCCAGCTTTTACACAAATACTGGCCAAAAGGTTTGGTGAATTTGGTATTAGATCAAGATAACAATTTCTTCCTGATAAGTTTGGGTATTCTCATTTGCCTGTTGCTGGATGATGTATAGATATTATTGGGAGAGGTTCCATGATAATCACTTCTGGGAGTTAAAGGGTTAAGCTCATCAATAATTATTCTTTACTTATGTTTTGTTGTTAATTTACTTAATTTTCAGTAATGAAATAGATGCTACGTTGAGTAGGCTCAAGAGGTTAGAGAGAGATTTAACAAATAAGGAGAAAGAACTGCGTGAGGTATGGAATTATTTTGCTGTGTCACCCACTGACTGTTCATGAACAGGAGGTAAATTCTTGATACACACTTACTGTACACTACAACTCAGGAATTAAGACCAATTTTGGTTTTATTTCAAATGGAAAGTTGTCAATTTGCAGATATTTTGTGGTTATTGTTGGCAAAGTGCTTATCGTACTGAACTGCGTCTTGATAATTTAGGATAAGATTTTTAACTTTTTTCTTCATCTTGTGATGAAGAAATGTGAGTCTTCTGTGAGGAGTTGAAGACCAGTAAATATGGGCCCTGGCCAATCTTGCTGTGCTGAATGCATTGAACACTAAGTGGCTGTTTTTCCCTGTTTAGAGAGAAGTACGTGTACAACAAAAAGAAAAGAAAATTAATGAGCTGCAGTCTATTTCTAAGGTATGTAATGAATCATTAGTATTATTAGTGTGTGTATTTTCTGCATCATAGTCATGTTTCACATTAATACACATGGAATTAAACTGAAATATGATTTGCTGATTGATGAAAACGTAATTGTAAAGTACATCATTCAAGACTGGACTAGTTTTTTTCTTGAATTAGTCAGTTAGAAAATCATTCAAATTTGCTTTGATAGTTAATGTTGTTGTTGTTGTTGTTGTTGTTGTTGTTGTAATGTTTTTTGGTAAATCATTCCTTTCACAGAGAAGACTGGATGTCTTTACCAGGGCCTTAGTTATCTGATTTTTGTGATTGTTTTTGTTTCATTTTGCTGTTGATGTTGTTGCTGTTGTTTTTGCTGTTATTTGTTTGTTGGTTTTTGGACTGTGACGGCTGAATGCCAGACATAGACATGTAATGTCTTTCATATCAGCCTATTGAAGTAAACACAGCAATTCTTGTACAGGGCATAATTTTATAATGCACATTTTTTTTGGATTGTGGACCTGCTGGGGGCTGACTCACATAGCTGCCGCAATGTAACTTAATATCTGCTGCATGAAATGACTTAGTGTATCACCACTCTCCTGGGTGATATGCTAGTCCATCAAAAAGTCCTTTTTTACTTCCTTGTGAAGAGAGGCACTGCTATTAAGTGGGGTCTTGCTAAAACCAGGATTTTCCTTTCAAGAGTTAAGCATTTTTTTCCCAAGAAGCTACCTCCTCTTCCATTCAACAACACTTAATGCCTACCTAAAACATTGTCTCTATTTCCCTTCAGGTTCTGGACAAACATGATGTTAATGCCTGGACAGAGAATGATGTGGTAATTTTGTTTGCTGTCTTTTAACTTCATTCTATGCTTTTTCTTTTTATGTGTTGAATGATTAATCCTGTGTGATATATTTCAGTGTTTATGGCTGCAGCAAGTTGCACAGAACAGTAAGTGACCAGCAGAAATTACTTGTACAATGTTGCAGATTAAAAAAAATAGCTCTACAGAAAACCATGAAATATGTAGCTAGAAGTATTCACAGATGAGTGGAGCTTGGTGACTAGGACTACACTACCATTCATTTGACCTTTGTGTGGTACAGCCTAAGTCAGCCTCTCCTAAATAGATACTAGGGAAGTTTGTAAAGAAATTGTGGTTGTATTGGTAACGGGTGGTTATAATTTTTTTTGTAACCTGAGTTAATGATGTAAATTGGCTACTGTAAACAGTTTCTAAAGCTGAAGGAAATTGTGGTTCTGCATTGGTAATGGGTGGTTATAATTTTTTTGTAACCTGAGGTAATGATGTAAATTGACTACCGTAAACAGTTTCTAAAGCTGAAAGCCATCGTTGCTCTGACAAAAGGGCTAACGATTGAAGTATCAGCTCAAGACATTCTTTACAGTGGCAAATTTACATTTATTTTATCAACTCAGTTGATAAAACCAAATCATTGTTTATATGTATATTGTTTACTTAACATTTTTTAATGCTCTTATTTTGTAAAAGTTTCAATTTGCATCTAACCCGTTACACCCTAGCTAACATCAGTATGCATCTTCTCCATACTGTTCTCTATACATTTCTTAAGGGTCTGAAAAGGAGAAGTTGTTTAACAGTCAAGAGTTCTTTAGTTGTTGATCATTTCCCTTATTCTCATGACCTTAATGTTTGATTCAGGGCTGATGTTATAAGGAGAAATTAAATGCCAGTCACTCTTGGGGGTTGAAGGGCTAATTCAGAATGCTAAGCCTTGTTAGCTAAATTTTCTTAATCTGTTTACAGGTGGGCATAAAGACCTTGTGACGTATTTACCACTGTTCCAAGATAATCATATTACTGGGAGAAGGTTAGTTTTTCGTTCAATTCTAGAGGGAACGTGCTTGTTCTATCTATCCATTTGTGCCTATTTGAGTTGTTCTATTTGAAATTTTTAATAATAATAGTTTGCATTCCCCCTAGCTGATATGTGTTCTGTTGTATTTCAAAATAGATATGGTGGTAGTGCATGGATTTGGTAGAAGGCAGATTTTTGGTGAGGAAGTTTGGTCAGAAACGCAAAATTAAATTTAATGTATACTATGAAGTTTGTTAGTCACTGAGTGGGCGTTATTTTAGTCAGGTAGTCAATAAGGAAATTTAATCAGTCAGTCAGTCAGTCGCTTAGGCAGCCAGTCAATCAGAAAGTCAGTCACTCAGTTAGTCAGGCAGTAAGTTAAACAGAAAGTCAGTCATTTATTCAGTGAGTCAGTCAGGCAGTTAGTCAATCAAAAAGTCAGTCATATAGTTAATCAACTCGGTTGATAATACTAAATTACCCTGTCAGTTAGTTATAGTTTGTCCGTCAATCATTCAAACAAACAGTCAATCCGTCTGTCAGTTAGTCTAAATAAAATCAATATTATTTCAGTTATTGTGACAGTTTGTATATGAGTCAGTTATTCTATCAGTCAATCAGTTTAACAGACAGTCAATTAGTCAGTCCGTCAGTCCGTCAATCAGTGCGTGACTCAGATTTTCAAGCAGTCAGTCAGTTCTATCATCCACTCACCCAGTTAACAATCCGTATCCATGATTCCACGCAAGCTTCAAACTATGTAGTTCAATCATTTTAAGGCAAGAATGTCGTTCAAAATTGCATTCACGGAAAATTATTCATTTTTTAATGGATTAAAAATGGATACAGCTGGAAGTCGTTCGTGTATAGCATTAAATTAGCAATCGTGGGTATAAATTTTTTTTTTTTTTTATTGCGCAGGCTCATTGTGCTTACAGACGAGCAGTTGGTAACTCTTGGAATAGAATCCTTCGGTCACAGGATTGAGTTGATGGTAAATGTGTGCTATATTTCAAGCTAAGGAATTTGCGAAATTTGATTGGTCATCGCAAGGCATCTAAGTCAACTTCGAAATGCTTTTTTTAGCTAAAATTAAGTTTCCATGACAACCTGAATGACCTTTACAGTGTGGTGGAAAGATTTCTGGAAGGCGACGGTAAAAATTCTAGAAGGATATTTATAGAACGTCAAAGGAACGACAAAGAAAGGTCTTTTGTGAGATCTTTTAAGAAGGATTACTTTATGATATTTTAAGCTGCACTGCCAAACGGTTTGGCGGAGTTTACTGCTAAGCGACGAGTACGAGAGATTTCATTGAAAATTGTTTTTTTTTTAACAGTTACAAATTCATGTGTAAGAAGATTGTCAATCAGTAACGGATTACGGAGTATTTTACTTTCAATCATCAAGAAAAACAAGATCCTTTGTCTTTGTTTTATTTCTTTTTGCAGGAGCAAATTGTTCATTTGAGGTCTGAGAGCGAGTCGATGATGCACTTTCCTCCTCTTCGACCCATGGTACATGTTTAAGGCAGAGTTGTTTCTGTTTGTTTTTTCTGTTTTTTTTTTTCTGCTTTGTTATTATTATAAATACAACTTCCAAAGTTCCCTTTTTTCATAAACGTCTTAGACCATGGCCATTTTTGAGTCAGTTCGTGGCACTTTAGTGCAGTTAGAGCGTAGCAAGTTTGTGTGTGATGCATGTCTAACAAGCCACAGAGGAATTTCCAATTGTGTATCGAAGTACTTCGTAAGTTTTGCTTTTCTTCGCTCCGCGACTGGTCTAAAAAAACACTCGCGCCACTCTCTCCACTAATCAGTTGCAAAATTAAAACCAACTGTGACCTGGTCACTCGCGTTTTCCCGCGCTTTTGGCTGGAAACCTGTTTTTACCTCGAGTTCTCATTGGCTCCTTGTGATATTCTTCTTTATTCCTATTGGCTTATGGAATTACTTTGGTTTTGATTGTATGACATTCAGTCGATATTAACTCTATCACCTTGCATTCAGGATGATGTTACAACAAATGGCTATGCAAGCAGTCAACCCCAACAGCAAACTCTCATTCTCTTATTCGGTAATCATTGTAGAATGGAAAAATCCTCACAGGTGAGTGCCCTAGTATAGATTCTTTCTTGGATAAAATTTTGTTCCATGCGATTGTACTCAAGCCTTCAATTTGGATTTGAAGCCGCTGTTACAGAGAGCAAACGAGATCAATCATCTGGAACGGTGCTTATCTGATAAGGGCGATTTGATTATTGCAGCCGTGAAACGTGATTATCGAAAATTATAGGTGATATTAATTCTAACTTTCTTGATTTCAAAGGCAAAATGCGAATGAATTTTAAACTGAAGATGATATTTCTACAATTAAGCGCCGCGGCCCTCATGAGACGTGCATGTAAACTGTCGCAAGAATAGTGTGACCCTTGAACTCTCTTGAGTGACCAAGGAAGAATTTCTCCTTACAATATCAAGCAGCCAAGTGATGATAATCAAGAAAATTATCAATGTGGGGATTATCACTTGGTCTAATACTCAATTCTCCATGCTTACATCATGAGAATTGTCTGGCAGACAATAAGGAGAGTTTTTACTGACATCTTGGGAATGAACGGGTCAGGTAAACTCATTCTAAGTATTAGGAATTCAATCAAAGTATTAGGAAACGAAATTTGACATTTTTGTCCATTATTAAATGCAAAACAACCGGACATAAATTTATCCATTGCTGAAGAAGGCACGATATTTCAACTAAATTTTATCCCCCCCTAACAGGAGCACAAATGGAAGATGTTCGTGGAAGTTGATGGAGACGAGACAGCTCTCCTTCTGGTGAAGGTGGGAATAAGTTTTCAATGTTTCCGCTCAGTGGTTTGTTTCCGCTACGCTTTTTCCACATCTTCCTCGAAGGACAGCGACAAATTCAGTTCTATTGGTCTTACCTTTTCTCTCTCTTCTTTTAGAATGTCACCTTTTTTGTCAAACACACAAGTGAGATCAAAACACTGAGCCAGGTATGATCTTAAAGTGGTCGCAATAATTTTTCAGTGTTGTGAATTGGATTGTAAACTTGTGGATGAAGTTTAAAGCGAATTTGGACTTATTTCACGGACGGAAATTATTTCATGGTCGCCCGTCATTCAAAGTTATCGCAATAATTTTTTTTAGCATTGTAAATTAGATTGTAATATCGTGAATGATTATTAAAGCGAATTCGGACTTATTTCACGGACGGAAATTATTTTATGGTCGCCCGTCATTCAAAGTTGTCGCAATAATTTTTTAATATTGTGAATAAAGATTAAAGCGAATTCGAACTTATTTCACGGACACCCGTCATTCACGTCGCCTATGCTCACTGACGACCATGTGACTTTTTATTTTCCGCAATTTTTATAATTTGGAGTGGTAGGTAGATTACTTTTGTGAAAATAATGCTTGGCGTGGTGGCCGAAGGAAGTAAACAAAATAAATTTATTTTAGGAGTTACTAATTAACTTGCCGTTTGTCTCACAGCCGCCTTACGTTATGAGCAGCTGGCAGACCAGCACTCCCGGTGCGGCACCGGTCGTGGAATGCACGGTGAATTATGAGGTATGTCGCATCAAACGCGTTCTTCTTGAGCAAAAAAAGAAAAAGAAACAACTTGTTTGTGAGTAACATGTAATCTTTCTATTTTATGTTATTCTCAGAATAATGTCAAAAAGCCCAGAAGTACCAAGCATGTGCACACAGTCCTACTTCAGGAGAGCGGCTCGACGATTACAAAAACTGTTCATTTAACGCTGAAGCAGTCAACGGGATCCAGTGCAAGAGGGAACAGCCGCCTGGACGGATCTTCATCTCAATCCCCTACCCCACCCGGATCTCCTTGTGTAACCAAGGTAAATGCAAACAGGTTTCCTCCCCACCCATCTGGTGTAAGGTTTGTTTGTCGTTGACAAGCCGTGATAGTGATAGGGTCAGCATTATTCCTGGTGTGGGAGCTCCAGTCTATCGACGAATCAAGTCAGCTTTGTACCATTTTAAAGAATGAACTGCAACCAAACAGGTTTACTAAGATGTTGTAGATTTTTAACATTGCCAAAGGATCATCAAGATATAGGGCTGGAGATAATGGAGGTTATGATCTTGATAGCCCGTGCAAACATACGGTCATAGCTATGATGGATGCTCCAAAATCAGGGTTCGCACTGATTACATGTAGTGTTATCCACACTGATACAAAAATGGAGACTGAAGGCAATTCAGAGTGGAAGTAATAGCAGTCAAATCCCATAACGAAGTGAGGGTGAGACAAGCTGCAGAGAAACCTCATCGTGTCCAATCAATAGCAGTCATAGACTGACCTAAGCAAACAGGAGTGTGGCATTTCTACCAAAAATCAACCCGTTTTGGAGTTTTCATTCTTGGTTATGACCCCTACATTTTACAGTAATACGCCCACCTTACCACACAATCATTGATAAGATGCACATTCCACTATGAAAGGTTACGTTTTTCTCATAAATTAATTCCTTGTTTCATTTCCCAAGGCTTCAGGTTCAAGGCGGTCGTCCTTCTCCAATCCCCCTCCTCCCCTTTTAAACGCGGTTCGTAGTAAGCAAGAGCCATTTCCAGTGACGTGGGCACAGAAAGTGGCGTTTAGTGGCCCTTCAACACCTGTAAAAAGAACACCCACAAGGGTGGTCCCATCTGCTACAACACCGACAACAAAAAGTCCTACAAATATTTCTCCTTGGAATGCCTCCGCCAGCTCTAAATCTTTTAAAGGTTAGTGGTGCTTACACTTTTTAGCGCGAAATAAGGCTTTTGTTGAGTGGTATTTATAGTGTTATTTATAGTGCTCAGTGCGGCTGTTCATGTTGTTTTTTCTTTGTCCTCAATGTTAGTTTGTTTGTTTGTTTTTTTTTAACTGAAAATTTGTTGTTACCACTTTTACTGTCACTGTCTTTTTCACTCTCACCGTCCTTGTCACTTCAGTTTCATCTTCAGCATAACCTTTTCTGCCGTCATTGCCATGATAACAGCCACCGCCATTATGGTTACGATAACCGCTGTTATTGCTATTGTCATTGTCATCTTTATTGTTGTTGCTATTTTAAGGATACCCCTCCAACTGGGACGCAAGTTGGATATCAGATGGAAACCCTAAGCCACGCTCCTCTTCCTCTCCCTCAGACCTTACCCGGGGATCTAAACAACAATCCAGTCAGCAGTATCAATCGTCTAGGGGCAGAAGAGGAGGGGGCAGAGGTGCAAGGGGAGGTGGCCACAGGGACCAGAGCTACCAGCGAAGTGTTAGCGATTCAAAGTATGCGGGTAGAAGTTCATATGTTCGGGACGATAGAGCGATAAAGGAACGCTTGGTTGCTACTGAAGGTGCCATTCGGACTCCGCCGAGGAAAAGTAGTGAGGTTTCAAGACTCAACCCACAACAGGAGGAGACTAGGGCACATAATGACAGAGGGACGACAAGTGAAATGGACACTTCTGGTAGTACCTCACCTTCATCCGGTGTAACCGATCGGGACAACACACAGGGTAACGGCACGAGTTCGGAATGGTGTACTGTTTCACACAGGAAGACACATCGGGAGGGAACTGGAACCACAAACTCGCAAAGTAACGGTCGTAGAACGTTTGATAAGCGGTCAGTTGACGAGGGGAGAGGAAATAGACGAGGGGGTCATCAAGGTAGAGGAAACCGGGGTCGAGGCGACCGGAGCAGGGGAACTGGAGGCCCCAGGGGACGTGGGCGAGGAGGACGGGGATCGATGTAGACAAAGAATACTTTTTACCGCGCGTTATTTAGGGATAATAGATTGATGTTGAATAATTTTTTACCTAACGGCTTTTCGAACGCAAGCAGAAGGAAATTGTTCGCTTCTGTTTAATTCTTAGTGGTCTATTAACGTTCTTATATTCGTATTGATAAAGTTATATTTTCGTTTCTACCAGTGGGTCTCTTATTCTTCGCACAAGCATAGTCGTAAGAAAGTCTTAATCTTCGTAAACGTATCGTTATAAGAAAGTCTGTGTCGTGTATTCTGTTATTACCTATCCAAAGAGCAGATTAAGCTTTCCTTGTACGACATGTACTCGCGGTCGATCTCAGCTAAAAACAGATGGATCATTGGATCGAGACCTTAATTTACGTGCATCCACAACAATTTAAATACAGAAATTCAAACAAAGAAAAACAAAACAAAACAAAGCAAAACAAACAAACAAACAAAAAAAAAAGAACAACAAACAGAACTGAAGAAATAAAAAAAAGAAATCAAATAATAATGGCTCTGCCAACGGTTCGAGGCGTCCGAATAATTGACAAATCTCTCATCGAGTAATGATGCTAATCGCAGCCAGATGACTAATGACTTTTGATGAATTTTATTGATAGGAAAAGTAATAAACTTGTTTGATACTACTTTTCTATGATGTGTTTTTTTCTACTTCTTTGATAAATTACAAAAACGTTGCGTCGGTCAATTCGGGCATTTGAAATTTTAAAGATTGATTCGTAAGAATTCCCCCTCTCCCCCCCCCCCCCCCCATTACCCGGGAGGAAATTGCGTTTAAATACCCCGCCCGATCGGAATTTTTTTTTATTAAACAATTCCTAGTGTGATCAAGAAATGTTGGGGAATTCTACGATGTCCTAATTTTACTCTGACTCATTTGCATACGTAAGCGAACTCTTTACCTTTAAACTCCTTGTGTACTCCGTTGGTTCAAATTCCCCACCCCACCGAGGAGAGACTCCAATCCCCCATCCACGGGGTACCTACAACAGCCAAATGCCCGTGGGTTGTCCCCAGGGGGATGTAGAAGCTTTGAATCGATCGGCGCATAACGTGCCTTCTTGTTAATATAGAACGCCTGAAAATGCTGACTCTGAGGTTTTATCACTCAAGTTCAAAAATATTGCGTAGACCACTGAGTGCGATAATCTTTTATTATACAAGCTTTAAAAACAGTCATATCCTATAGAAGAATGTTCTCCCAATGCTAGTTACCAATGCTAGCTAAATGTTTAGTGACATATCAGGGCCATGTCATCTCTAGCAGCGGTATTGATAATACGGTTTTTGTTTTGTTTTGTTTTGGGTTTTCTTTTTTTCAACAAAGATTTGCCGATTGACTGGTAAGCTGTAATTTTTGCTTTTTCTGCTGAGCTGACCAAGAACCACCTCTTGTCCACTTCACTTAGTTCAGCGTATGGCCATGTGCATCAACGTGATGCTTCTTCTTTCTCCTGGAGCAGATGCAAACAGTGTTTAGTTGACCAACATTGTTATTCATTCGATGTCCCTTCATATTGAGCTATTAACTTTCATGACACGCCATTCTAATTCGATAGGTAAGTCCATCAATAGGGTCCCGTTGCCACTGATGCTCGTCAAAGACTTGGTTTCCCATTGATCAAGGCAAACAGCAATTTGCACATCTTTTCAGTTCGCTAGCTGGATCGCGGTCGATCTGATTTTCATTGCTATCGTTCAAATAAGAAAAAGCTTTCCTTGGGGGAGTATGGTTTGTGAAGGCTATAATGATGTAAACAGGAGAGAGCAAAACGAAAAATGCTTCAGTGAGTAAAAATATTTTGCTTCCTTTTGGCCAAGACTAAAATGGATTATTTTAGAGTGGTTTGGGCCTTAGACTAACTGATGGTATATTACTTCAAGGTGTTCCTATCATGGGGCGTCTTTAGTCATATATACGTAAGCCTTGAGACTCAAATTACCAGTTAGTTTGATTAAGCCAGTGTCTCACGTTTACGAGGATCTCGATGGGGTTAAGCGATAGCCGTAAAACCGCCAAAATGTGTAGAAAGCAGTACATAACAAAAATAGTTAATATTTACTTTGGCAGCTGGTGTCCCGCTCAAATCCAGTTTCAATGGAAAATGATGCCATAAAAGATAGAAATAACATACAAAACATGACATAAAGGAAGATTCAAAATTGGTCGATACCTCAGCTAATCCATGAAGGCAAGGGATTATAAACTAAGTCCATTAAGAAGGATACATTATAGTGCTGAATAATTGTTGTGAAAGGCTGTCTGTAAACCAACCCCACGATTTCAATTAGGCAATGGAAACCAAACACATAGGCTTGTCGCTTAAAAAGACATTTCTGTCTGTATTGAAGGGTAAAAAAAATCGCCCACACACAGATGAGAAGCAGAATCAATTGTGTTCAGTATGAGATGTTGTGAAAATCGGAAATTAAAGACTTCGAAAAGAACATCAATTTATTTCAATGGGAGAAGGCAAACTGAACGCAAAGGAAAGCTTTTCTGTTCAAATCATGAACATTTTTTTCATAATAAAACGAGAACAAATTCTTATCGTTATCCATGGAAATCATAATAATTATGCTGATGCATATAGTAATGATAAACACCATAACCTCCAGTTGTCCGCTGCGCCCTACAAAAACTGTTTCTTAAAATCTTCAAAGAAAAAACAAATTAATGATAAAAACAATCATACAATCATGAATCCATATAAATTCGACCGCTCTTAACAATCCCTCTCAAATGAAGATCACCTTGGAAATGTGAACTACTGCTGAGCTAGCTACGGCAAAATTCACACGTTTGATTCCACACTGCACTTCGCCTAAAAAGATCATGTTCACAACGAAATCGGTTCCGTGAGGCAACGGACGTTTAGACAAAGTTATCGACAAACCCTATAACCAAAGGATTGTCTGTTTGGTTTCAGGTCTGTATGTCTTGTCCAAACAAAACATCACTGCTACAGAAACTTCTACCTCCACAACTTCTGTATCATAAAATTTATCTGAATTAATGCTGATGTTAACACCGCCTTAGCGCCAATGAACCTAGGTAGTTTATTTGCGAAAACATATGATTTCCTTTCTTGCCATACACACTTTTATATGGCTACTTCTTATTATTTCGATATGGAACCGTCAAACCTTGTAGTAGAAAGAGTGCCTTGAAGAATCGTTGCTAGACTATCGAATGAAATACCAAGCTTTCTCGGAGAACAACGAAAAAAAACGGGTATTTTGAGAGAGAAATTCGTGACATACAGCAGATTATTCCTTAAGTAACATCTCTGGAGTAGTTAATGATGCTAATAAAAGTCTCCTTTATATTTTTCTCAAACCAAGCTGTTCTCAGCCTTTCCTATTTTATAAGTTTTTGATGTTATCATGAAGTTATCAATATACTGTAATTAAGGACCTTATATGATTTTCAAAAGTGGCTCGGCTAGATAAGTATTAGACATTTGCGTAACTGCTAACTTCTATTAAGGAATAAAAAGAAAGGAAAATTGTCGGGCATATGACTGTTTGTTCTCAGTTCCTTACCCAAAAATTAAAAATAACATTCCACTATCAAAAACATGAATCTTAATTGTATACTTCACTTCTTTGCCAAATTTCTGCCGAAGTCCTTTCGACGAATTGTGTTGTTGTGACCGACGCGATGCTGCTGTTTAGAGTATTCAAATGTCATTTCTTTCCTGGCAGCAATCAGCAAATCCAAATTGTGCACTCATCATAAATGAACACCTTTCATGTTCTTGTTGGTTTAATTTGGTTATTTTGTGGTGTTAATTCATTCATGGCAACTCTTCTCTGTCTTTCAGGATTGATTTCCTCAACAGATCGTGGCTTCGCGCCAGCAGCTGGCAGGTTTTCCTCTGATTTTTTTAGTCGTAGCATTTCAAAAATAGCATTTCTGAACCGGCGATCTCTGTAATAATAGATCAAGGGATTTGCGAGGGAATTAAGCTGCATGATTGTCTCAGTCAGTCGGAAAACCGAACTTTTCTGAAAAATTGCGAAGAACTTTCCCAAAATTTCTATCGCAGTGGGAAGAAGAAACGATAAAAATATCATTCCTGTTATAAAACCAGTTGTCTTAGCAATTTTAGCTTTCTGCTTTACAACAGAGACAGTGCGAACAGTGTGGACCAGGTTCATTTTTAGTTTTCGTATTTCAAGGTACATCATTAGGTAAAAATAGGTTATCAATGTTAAGGCAAATCCCCAAAAAACACCCTGAAAAAGTAAATAAGAATTTTTAAACCAGCCAATGTCTATGTTAGCCGCAGCTAAGAAATAGGGCGGTAATATGACTATCGACGGCAGCCAAGCGAGTACAGCAAGTCTCTTTGCACGTCGTCTTGACGAGATCAATTGGTATGTTCTCCATTTCTTGACAGCAATGTACCTCTCCCATGCAATCACTGTCAAATGGGACAGTACAGAGGTGGATCCACAGTACATAACAGCAAGGCCTATGAGGTCTAAAATACAGACGTTGTCAAGAAACGTTTGGTGAGCAATCAACAAATCAATAACGGCAGTTAACGGCAGGGATACGGCACCAACCCAAATGTCTGCAAGGGCCATACTGCACAACAGAATAGTCGACGCTCTCTGCAAATCTCTCCTCCTGCTCACGGCTACGATCTCGAACGCATTAAGAAGAAAAATCACGGGAGAAGCAAGGATTGTAATACCAAATATAAGCCAGGCAAAAGTGGTCTCCCCCAAGTCCCAAGAATAACTTGGATAATACCAACAATAAAACACTGACGAGGTCATGTTGGCTTGGTTGACCGTTTCTGATTCATTTGCGAACATGTCGCGAGAAAAAACGGGTTACTAAAACAACTTTAGTTCGTCGCACTATGGATCAAAAGACATCTTTCTCGAGCGTTTCTCCGTACTAGTGTACAAGCTATTCTGAACAAATAGTTAGCGTCCAGAATTTCAATCTTTTGTAGGTCGCGGAAGGAAGAGAAAGTAACAGCTGCCTCTTCATGAAAAATTTTTTTGGGTGGATTGTTGTGGGAGTCATTTCCTTCAATTCTTATTTTAGCTTTGGCCGCGTTTAATTTGATGTGAATAATAGTCCCACTCATATTGGCATGAACAACAGAAATATGATAATAACACCAGAAGCGGAAAAAATAAGACGGATTGTAATTTGTGAAATGTCTTTTTTTTTCTTGTTCTTTTGTTTCTTCGTTTTGTTTTGGTTTTCTTTATTTTTTTTCTATTGTTTTCAATATGAATTGTAGCTCACCAAGTGTTAGATGAATTTCCACAAATGTATGGAATGATGATCACACTTCAAGTTGCCATTGACTCTGGTGACCAATGGTGCCTCTGTTACCATTCTCCTCAATTTGTACATGGAAGGATGTCCAAAACCACCATCATCGAAAGGCCACCGGAATGAAATGGGAGGTGAAGGGGACTCAAATAAATACTAATAGTGTATACCACACACGCGGAAATACTTTTCGAGCGAGCTGATTGGCTAGAAGAAGGTGATGATTAGCAGTTATTATTCACCTCCAGGGTTTAATATCCGATGAAATTAACGGAATTATAGACCAAAACACGGCGATGCAAAGAGTATCACAGCATTTTTGTTCATTTCGGCGATAAACACGAGCTATTTGCCAAAAAGATTTCACTTACCTTAACTATCGTTCTGCATTTTGAGCTACCTGCCCAGATTACTTTCCAAATCACTGTAACCTTTTTGGATGGCGTTCTTTCCTCAAAACCATTTGCAGGAAATCATCATGTAGTTTCACTTTAAAAGCCAACTTCGCTCGAAATTTGTGCGTCGTAATTGGCTTGATATCTCAACTCCCAAGAAAACCTGAAGTAACCATGATTTTCGCGAATTCTGACTCTCTCACGTCGTTCCCTACCCAAGATTAACTGATATTTTCTTCCTTCCTTGAAATGCCTCTGCGATTTGTTTCCACTTGAGTCAGGCATGACCATTACCGCTTGTGAGGCAAGAATTTATGGTTTAAATTTTAATTTTGTTTGCAGAATAAAAATTAGGGGGGGCATTACGACCCCGATTAGTGTCGTCGCTTTTGTGGGATGATCGCTTTAAAATGTTCGTTCCTGTGCTTCCAGATGGAATCATCTTGAACAAACCCTAAAACCCCTTCCAAGTGATTTCCTTTACACTCACATTAACACGAACCTGAAGGCGTATTTGTATGAGCAACTTCCAACAGGAAAATCATTTGCCAACTCTTTGCCGAGGAACGTCATTTTTCCGACAACCTATAGGGAAGGAGGCTTCACCACGCTGTGATAAAAAAAATGACACTAAATGCATTCAAAGATTGTGCCGGTCAGCCTACTTTTGCCGGATTAAGAACTGATCGAGTAATAAAATATAGAGCTGCCGTGGCAAAGATATATTCTACTTAAGTCTCCAGGAAATGGTCTCTACACAAAAGTGATTGGATGTACGGTAAGGGAGGGAGGTATAATTGGAGGAAAGGGTAATGCAAAAATTGTTCAGAATTTACAGTCCAACTTTAACCTCAGAAGAAAAAACATTGATCACTGAAAAGTTCCCCTCAAAGCATTCGCTCTGACGAACACTCGTGCCGACCATCGGCTATGAAGGACTTAATTTCGAAACGTCAGCTTTATCAACTCTTTACGGTGGCTAATTTACGTTATAAACTCGATGACGTTGATAAAACCAAATTTTCTTGTAATGAATCCTTGCCTTTATAAGCCAAGCCTTTAGAACATCTGAAACTGCATATGATAATCAGAATTAGTATATGCTAAAACAGTGTACAGAGTTGATGGCGCGCTCTGATTGGCAATTCAAACTCTTTGACATCTACCTCCGAACACTTGCGCGGGATTTCCACACCATATGCAGGCTATTGCATGTTTATACATTGAATCTTCAGCAAGACAGGATTGATGTAAAACTAAATCTACGGAGAGGTGCCTCTCATGTTTAATGTCACACAGTTAAAAATTATTTAGAGTATACATAGCCACTGATGGCAATACCACAGACATGTACGAAATAGCAAGGTATTTTACAGTTGAGCCTAAAAGGTTCTTTTTTAGGTAAATGAACCGTTAAGCTTCTTGTCGTCCGATAAAGAAATCTGGATAATTTTTAAAAATGAACGCTTAAAAATATATTTCGTGAATAAAGAGATTCGAAGGGGGTAAAGAGAGGAGCATTTTATTGCTTGATTAGTAATTGCAAAATTCAGCTGTTTTTTCACGGTTTGATCATGACGCATTCAGATTATACGTAACCAAGAAATAAGTTAAAAACCCCTATGCAAACAAGGGCCCCAGATGATTGATATGACTACCTTACCTTCATGGCAAGATATGACACAATTCTGGACCCAAAACATCAGAGGGTCATTTTTGACCTCACTATAATTACATCAAATTTATCATGATTGAAAACTTGTCCTCTACTTTGATGTGACAGAAGTATAAAAGGAATCATGCCCAGCCCCGTGAGAGATTTGAACTCTCGACCCCTGGTTTACAAGACCAGTGCTCTAACCACTGAGCTAACGAGGCGACCACTAATGAACGGTCTCACGAAAATGGCATTGGAAAGTATAAATGACATGAGTCTGTTAGCACGTGGATTTTTTATTTTTTATTTTTTCAAGACTACCAAAATGCTTCAACTTACTGATACCAGAAGATAACTAATCATTCATGTAGGACGGCAAATCTACCAAACCAGCTCCTAAATCAGATATACCAATGAGAGATGATAGCCACTGGGGGCTATAATCAGACTGACTGAGGGTTCAAGAAGGTGGGAAAAGTGCATTGATTGAAAATAAGCCGTTGAAAATGACGTTTTAAAGCAACGACGACTTAAAGATCGTCAGTCCAAGCTTTAGCATGTAAAAAATTGTTTTTGGTTTTGTTACAAAAATAGCTAATCACGATTATGCTCAGATTAAACATTAAAAGAAGCGAAAAATCGCAAATTTAATTGTTAACAAATGGCCTAGTGAATGGAAAATTCAGTTGAAGACGTGCACTTGATTATGCGATATCTACGGCTGAAAACGTAACTTTTCTAAGACATTGTAGTCAAACAGCAATGAGGATGTGATCTCCGATTCAGATATCATTGAACACGATATCCAGAATTGCGTTAAGACTTTTTTATACATCTACGCTCAGCAAAAGTGGTCAGAAAATCTTCTAAGAAGTTATCACTTTTGCAGGTCCTCGTAAAGTGGTATGAACTGCTGTGCGACTCTCTTTCTATCCGAAGTTATCTTCAGCCATGCCATTCCCACAATGCAAAATCCAAGGAACACACACAACGAGGCAATAACAGGCACGTTGAAACCTGATAAAGGAAAAGTAAGAAAATCGAGCTTAGTTTAATCATGTCATATCATCCGAGGAGGGTGGACCTGAAACATAGTGAGATACACCTGTGAAACGTTGCAATGTTATTAAGTTGATACTACAAAACTAATTAATCCTTTGTTGCGTGGTTTGTTTGTTCTACCAGCCAAGGGGTTGAAACTGCGTTTGCAAGTTTTGGTCGGTCAGCTCCGATATGTGCCGTTGGTTTGGTCGTCCAGTTGGTCTGTAGATGCGATAAACTAGTCGTTTATGAGGAGTTGGTTATGAAATAGTGACGTTGGGAATGTAGTTAAGTTACCAAGTCATCTCTCTCAAGTCATTCTTTGAATACATTTTAGTGTAGCACTTGTTTGTTTATACTGAGACTGCGGTAGAATCATTTTCTGCTACTTGTGTGGTCTGATCATAAGTGTGAGAGTGGCCCTGCAATAGAAGGTTATGCTTGACAATGAGTCAAGTTTCGACACCCTAAGCAAAAGAGAATCCTATCATTTTCATTCACATTGTCGAAACGTCTTCCATTTTTACTGACGGCTGTCGTTTTCAGGGCGGACTTTCTCTCACCTGGACGATCAGGCTACAGCGGTGTCGATTCTCGCTCCTGAGTCAAAACCATCTACCGAGTAATTTTTTTTGTCTGGACTTAAGATATGTCTTGAACACCTGTTCAGATATTTCTGCATCTTGCTGTTAGCATTGCCAAATACTTTAATACATTTACTTCAAATACTTGCCTGTATTAACTTTGGGCTTAGTCTCATCCAAGGCAACCGCTTCCGCCTCTCTGTTCTCGCGGTTCAGTGCGATAGGACCTTGGGCCAGAGCGTATTTGTTACCCGGGTTGTCATGAAGAACCCCCTCGCTTCGTCGTCTTCGCTGTACGCAGCCTCGAGCACATCTTGAGGCAGGATCTGCGGCGTCACAGATTTGGACCTCGCAATGGAAAAACACAAACGCGTGGTTGCTGACGTATTGGAAAGCTTCAAGGCTCCAGCGCTGAGACTGGCTGTCGGGGCTGTCATGGAATTGAAGTGCGTCATCATTGTCGACCGAGCACCTGCATAAAGTGAGAAAATAAGACCAGTGCTGTAAAGTTTGTCGGTTACAAGTTTATCAAAAGCACTCTCACGAATCGCCCTTGCTAGACAAACTTTTAACGTATTTATTTATTAATTACTGGTGAGGTTCAGTTTTGTTCCGTGACTTGTAACTGAGTGGATAGTGGTGTTAAAGTTGTAGCTAAGAATCCAACCTTAAAACCACGAATCCAAAGTTAGAGCTACGCATCCAAAGTTCACAAAGGTAACTTTGGATCCTTTGTTATAACTTAAACAGAAATATCCACTTTTTTTTCTTTCATTTATAATAGTAGTCAGAGGCCACCGTAGTTTTGACTGTCTCTTGGGATAAAAGCTCGAGTGATTGGAGAGATGCATGCCCTCTAATTAGTTTCAATCAATCAATGAATACTTTATTTAATAAAATGAGAGGGGAATATTTTGGCTCTTCAACGAAACTATTGAAGTTGATTTGTTAGAAAGAAAGAAAAACATTTTGGTAAAAAGAATAAAAAAAAGTTGATACTGGCTAAAAAATATATTGTTCTGGACGTTTCGGCTACTACTGTTGCCTTCTTCAGCAAAGATAAAAATGCAAAATGGCTAACGGCGTCCTGCTTGGTATACTATTTATGTCCACGATGTGTGATAAAACTAAATCTCGAAGGAATTTTTTAAAGTGTAACAATATACCAAACAGGACGCCGTTAGACATTGTGCATTTTTATCTTTGTTATAGAAGGCAACAAGGAGTAGCCGAAACGCCCAGAACAATATATTTTTTGGCCAATGTCAACTTTTTCTTTTTCAACAAAATTTTTTAATATGCCTGGCTACACACCGAATATTTTTAAAGAAAAACATAGTTAAAAAAAGAGTAGTTGCAGAAGTAAACCCTCGAGGTTACAAGAAAACAGTTATTCTCCTTATCCTCAAGTTTTCATGACATGAAAATTTTGTTATTCCCTCGCCTTCAACTTTTAATTGGCAATGGATTTTTTGAGGCAAAACTTGAACACCTCGTTTAAGTCATGGAGCAAAAAACGTAATGAGAGTTACCTACCCGTCTTTAATAATGTCATATTTGGGCTGAGAATTCCTGTCCTGATAGGGGGTGGCATAGCAGTTCAGGGCTAAGATTGATAATGTTGAGTCCTCGCTGTCGACACGGGTTTCAAAGTACACTCGTTCACGGATTGTGAATTCAACAGGGAAGTCATCCTGAGAGAAGGGAGCAATGAATCTGATGGAAGGAAAGAGTTGAAATACAATTAGACCTTACTTCTTGAGGCTTGCGTCTATTCAACATGAACAGGTAATTTTCTTGAAGAAAAGCGATGTACAAACTCAGAAAAGTTAGTAATAATTTTATGCTAAAATCCATGTTTGGAGATTTAAATACCGAAATGGGCCTTTCTGGTGTTAAAACTTCCTCTCAGTCGCCACTTTGTATCATTATTAAAATCCTTTTAAGCACATTTTGGTTTCAAAAGTGTCAGTCGAAAAATTGGATCGCACTCATCAGCATCTTTCTAACATCTTGGCTTTGTGGTGATTATAAGGGCAAATTCAAGAGAAGACAACCCTTAAATTTTCAGTAATTGTATCATTTTAAATTTTGAATAAGCTACGCGCAATAATTTGAAAATCGTAATTTGATAGACTTCTTTTGGAGCTAAAAATTAATTTCGACAATCTTTTCAGCACTCGCAAATTTCCTTGAAGGAACTGCGCAATTGCAAAAATTATGTAGGTTAAGATCGAAAACGCATTACATCGGAATCCAAATCTTATCTTTTTTTTCAAAACAACAGTCACACAGTGTCATGCCTCTAACATAAAGTTACCTTTTTCCCACACAAATACAACTATTTCCTCAAGAAAGGCTTTGTGTTCGACCTCATATCTAAAAAATGACCCAGTCAAGTGCGATAATATGCAATTTGCATAGTAGCAAATGGAATAGACCATATTCACGATTGTATAGATTTGTCTTACTGAGAACTTCGGAACAAATCCAAACTGAGAGTAAACTTTCCAAATCCCCTGGAAGAAAAAACGATCTTCGTGCCTGATGGCCTGATTCCAATGGAGGACACTGCACCCCAATTGGAGTAAAAGCAGTCGAAGGGGATCATAGCCTGGCGCAAGTGCGTCGCAATCTTGTTCTCTTCTATAGGTATTTCGAACACCATGTTGCTGTATATAACGTAATCCTTATTATGCTTCAAAATGGTACCACACTTTCCAGTTTCGGTATGAAGGAAAAAGTGAGTCTTGTTTTCAGTGGCTGTGCAGTTCGCGTCTATTAGTCTCAGGTGTTCACGGTCAAGACCCAAGAGGAGAGACTTGGGTAGAGTAATAGTCATTTCGTCTTGGCCACAGTCTACTTCCACTCCCGCGGCTGTTGAAATAAAATATTAAATTTCATTTTAAGACTCTACAGAGGTAAGATGCCAATATGGCTAAACACTTAAGGGCAACATACAGAATACAAAAATAGAAACCTGTATTGTCAAAATCTGACTGCGACATTAAGTAGCTGCGAAGGATAGTTGATTTATAGAACAAAAATGCTCAAGAATAGGTCACCAATGATAAATAGTCTCCGTGCTTAAAAAAGACGAGATTTTTTGATTACTTCCCTCACTCTCTCCCAAAATGATTTTTATTGCCATTTCCCTCACGGTCACGTCGCCGTCATGTTATAGTCGTGTAATCTGCGCAATTGCTCAAGGCTCTAGACGAAGGAAAAACTTGTACTTTGAAATATACGAACAACTTTCGTTTAAAATCTGACAGGGATGTTAATTATGATAAAGCCGTATTTGGCAAGAAGAACACCAAAATTTAAAGATCAGAAAGCCGATCGCCATAGACTGTTACTTCGAGGCCATCCTGTAAAGTGCTCATCATTCACTGTTTCTACCAAATGATCAAACAACATGTTAACAACCTTTTATTCAAACTATATGGAAAATTGCTCCATTAGATTATTTCTCACCAATACAATGGCGCTTGTCTCGTGCAACGCTTAACTCTGGATCTGAGCAAGAGCAGTAGTAACTCCCCATAGTATTCTCACAGATATCATGACAGTGGTCCTTGTTCTCCCGACACTCATCAATATCTGAAAGACAAATTTAAGCCATTCACACAAGAAAAAGTTTCTCATTATATCTGTAAGGAATATGATGAGCGGGAATCGCCATTTATCGAAAACATATTCCTTAGGAAAAAACAAACAAACAAACTTGAACAAGTGAAATACTCACCGACTTGGCAGAGATCGCCAGTGACACCGGGAGGACATATGCATTTGAAGGTATTGTTTCCATTATCCACGCAAGTGCCATTGTTGGCACAGGGATATTCTGAACAGGGGTCTAAACCTTAGAAATAAGGATAAAAGTTAAAAGGTAGCAAATGGAATTGAAACATACCGGAGTAGATTACGAAACCTCTCATGCGTGACGAAACACTTTGCCTACGTCGAAATTCTCACATCAAAAAAGAGTAAGATTCTCGGAAGTGGAATTTCAAACTTGAACAAGTGAAATACTCACCGACTTGGCAGCGATCACCGGTGACACCGGGAGGACATATGCATTTAAAGGTACTGTCTTCATTATCCACGCATGTGCCATCGTTGGCACAGGGATATTCTGAACAGG